TGTATTTACACGGAAGTTAAATGCCGTGCGTGGCTCGAACGGGGGTAAGATGTAAAAACATCTGGAACACGCTCGCCTATTTTGACCACCAAATTTAGGGTTATAGAACCGTGTATCGCTATCAAAGGCCATTATCGCGACCATTAATCATGTTTTAATGACTCTACCGTCTGGCGGTCAACATGAATTCAATTCAACGACGCGCGAAAACCATAGGCCTGTCCAGTTTTACAAAAACAAATGCATTATTTGACCTGTTGTTAATGTTATAGCATCATCTTCATCATTTCAACATGTCTGTGTGGACCGAACCTATGATACGTTACCTTCTCTCATGGGGTGGGGGGAAAACAGAATACAAAGACAACTGGACGGCACCCACCGAAACAGCGGTATTTAAAAAGAAATAACTGCAAAGATAAAAGAAAAATTTAGGGGAAAGCTGACGGCGACACAGGTCACCAATAAACTGAAGTATTTGCGCAGGGAGTACAGTACAAGTGCGTGAAGGTGGTTAGAAACGTAAATATTGCGTAGCATGATGGGATATACTATTGCCTCGCTGACCTCAAACGAGTATTTCCGAGGTAATTTTTTACACGGTTAGACATGATAAGTTTGTGCTCGAATGCGGGGACCCCCCGTGGTGTAAAGGCGTGCGTTTACCTGTCATATACACGGAATTTAATAGACGGGGCTCGAACGCACCCCCAAAATTCGTTCTTTTGTAAATTTCTCCCTTTTTAAGTATGAACGTACCCCCTAAATAGGAATGTCCCAAGGAGGGGTTCCAATTTATTATTATTTTTCCTTACTATTTTACTTCCGACCATGTTAACTCGATTTATGTCATAATTTATATACCTATCAATGATAAAATGTGTGAACTTACTTTAACAATGCTAATGTCTGAGGTATTATTTCTTCATTTTTTCAGTTAAATGCGGCAAACGACGCTGCGCGTGCCCTCAAGTCACTCTTCGGCACCGAGTACTTTGTAGGGAATTCTGCCAGAGACATGTGTAAGTTTTTCGCATGTTACAACTTAAAGATCTAGGCCTAGGCCTACTACCGAAAAACCTCTTTGATTTCAATTTTCAATATATTTTGTGGGAAATTTCAGATTATATCTTAAAAACGTAATAATTTGTCTATGCTGCACCTTTAATTTAGGCCTATATTTTGTATATTAATTACATACATATAATATAATTTTATTGCCTAATGATGTGGAATAGCCCTCTCTTAAATCCCGTGCATTAATAGAAATTACGTAATGCAGCACTACAGGTGCAGTGATACCTCTCTTACAAAGGTCGACCATATTATCTTATTATTATGGGAAAAGTTAATCATTGACAGATAACTGTTGACTCCTGATTTTTCATATTCATTCATATTCTTGAATCCATAAACCAAACTGGACATAAAACTGAAACACATAAACATAACTTACTGTTCAATTATGACAAAATTTTATCATTTTCATATTTTTGTCATCGAATATTTTATTCAGATCCTGCTGGTGGCGCTAGTGAGGATTGGGGCTACGATGAGTTGAAGGCGAAGTACTCTTACATCATCGAACTGAGAGACGAGGGTAAATATGGCTTCATCCTGCCCGAGAGATTCATCGAACCCACAGGAGAAGAAACGTATGCAGGTGTGAAAAGTCTGTTTCAGACACTATTGAATGACCCCAACCCAATACAGTCATAAATGTGTTATTAGGGCGCGGCATCGCTTAGTTGACGTTCGCATATTTACTTAACTCGTCCTAGCTTTATCTGGGATGACAAAAGAATTATAATAAAATAATTGCATCTTCTATATTGTTAAATTAATAAATTCGATTAAATTGCAGTCTGTGAAATTTATAGTTTTAACTGAGTTTAAGATTGTTGATGTATTACACTGTATTGAAATTGAATAAAATCATGAAGAATCAACTATAGGCATATATTTCAATTGCTTTATTTTACAATGAGTTTATATAACTTCAGAACAGATGGAGACGTCACATTCATGATCTGTTCTATTTATCATAATGATCACACATTACTATGACAGTTCTCCAACCAATTCAAGACTCCTTAATTTTCGAGGTCCTCTAATTCGAGACCACTTTCATAGGCTATCGCCTAACAACTACTGTAACTCTAAAACAAGTTAACCTGATAATTGAAGACCGAACCCCGACTCACCGAGAGATAGATCAACCCATGTTTTCAGGTTACATGTGATCTCGAATTGGAATGGCGAACGGTATATTGAACAACTACAAAATGGATTGACGGAGTGTCAATCAAACTTTAAAATAAATCTGATCAATCAAAAAAGTGGCTGGAATACGCACATGTCTCACAACCACAGGTATTTACGTACGTTTAGACTTTCGATTTACGGTGGAATCTTAGTAACAACATCAAAGGTGCGGGGTGGTTTTAGCGCAATGGTCCGTAGTTAGTTTTATATCAGGTGTTGGTTTTGAAAAGTAAATGAAAATAGGTCTATTATTTGTAGGCCTTATATGAAAATTTTACACTTAATAATTTAAATTAAATTCCACTTCTAAGTATTTTAAATGTTGACAAAGAGTTTAATCCAAGTTTTAACACATTTTTTAGGGATACGGAAACGAGAACCATGATTTAGAAAGCTAGTAATTTTTTTTTTCAAACGCAATCAAGCGACGTTTTATATGTAAATTTGTTTGTTTATTGTATTTTTCCACAACAAAATTAAGTAACAACAAATCAAGTAAATAATATCTTAATCTCGAAGTAATACAAGTCTACTAGATAAATTATGAACAACATAAAACAAAGTGAGTGGATGGAGAAACCGAAATAAGTTTGAACACAAACTTTAAGGCATGGCTACCAGTCTAGTTGAACAGGCCCGCAGACAGGGGTGGGGGGTGGTACAGAGGGTGCGGGCACACCCCCACCCAAATTCCAAAAGGTCCACTTTTTAAAACTTATTATTTCACAAAATCATTCCTAATTATCACAAAATGTTATAGGATGCATTGCATTATATATTTACCAGCACATCCAGCCGTTGATTTAAAATATGATATGAAATTTGTTGGAAATTTATCGTCTCCGGTGACTGCAGATTGATCTATAATATGAACAATGTAATATGTAGGCCTGCAGATGTACAGCACATAATAACGTTACTGTACTTCTTCAGGCTCCAAAAAAACCCAAATTAATGAAAATTTTAATAAAATATTCACGAATTATTTGTTTGAGAAATCCATTATATAAGACCCTCAAAATGCTACTTTGTCGTAGCCTCCTGGGGCTTTTCTCAAAACCCCCTCCAGGTCTCTGCCCCTGGACCACCAAATTTCAAAAAGTCCACTTTTTAAAATTTATTATTTCATTAAAATCTTTCCTAATTATCGCGAAATGCTATAGGCCTAGTAGGCATTACATTCCCCCCCCCCCCCGCTCTTCTAACCGTTGATTTTTAATAATGTGCTACGAAATCTGTTGGAAATTATCAGCTCCAGTGATTGCAGATTGATCCATGTCATCTGTAGACCTACAGATGTAAAGGACATAAACAGTTACAACTTCACAGTGGTGGATTAGGGGGTGGGGGAGCTCCCTAAAATTTTAAAAGAAATGGAGAAAAAAGAAAAATCATAATTAAATTTTGTTTGAGAGTGCCATTTCCGGCCATCTAGAGGTGCCATAATCATAAATTTTCTTACCTCAGCCCCAACCATGGTGGGGCTCAGGTGGTATTAACCATCCGTCTGTGAAAGTTCCTCCCGGCCCTGGACCCTACCCTCTATTTCTCCTGCTTTATGCACCTTAACAATACCCAAATGAATGAAAATTTATATAGAATGTTACAAATTATAGGTTTCTGAAATCCATTATAAGGCCCATAAAATCCTAAATTGTCGGAGCTTCCGGGGGTTTCGCCACCCCCCCCACAGAGATTCCTAGGAAGTCGCCCATCCTAAGGTCCGCTTCGGTCGCAAAAATGCACCTCCCTATCGAAAATCCTGCCTACGGGCCTGATTAGTAACACAAAAAGGTGTCTTCAGAAAACCAAACCATTTTCTGTGTAATATTTTTTTTTAAGAGTACTGTATGGGAGTGCTGTTTCTCTGAGCATCTACAGCTGTCAAATTTGACTACAATTTAGGTTGAACCACATCATAAAGACAAAATTAGTAATAAAGTAAATTTTAATATACGAGCATGTCATTTCTGGGTATCTATAGCCTGCATTCTTTATACTGTCTCTTATACACATCTAGATGTGTATAAGAGACAGGGTCTGCAGTCAGTTGGTTGTTACCATTTGCCAGTGATGTTGGAGTATATACTGTAGTACAGGAAGATGGAACTACAGTATTATGTAGACCTAAAATGCATGAATAAAGCTCGGAGTTGTCAGGTAGTGAAATGATTATTGTACATTTTAAGTGCTCCCTAAATTCATAAGTGTAAGCTAAATTACGGTGATTAATACTGTATTTATTCTGTCTCTTATACACATCTAGATGTGTATAAGAGACAGCAATGTTATCTGTAGGCCTGCAGATGTACAGGACAACGTTACCTCTTCAGGCCCCCCCAAAAAAACAAATTAATGAAAATTTAAATAAAATATTCACGAATTATGTGTTTGAGAAATCCATTATAAGACCCTCAAAATGCTACTTTGTCGGAGCCTCCTGGCGCTTTTCTCAAAAACCCTCTCCAGGTCTCTGCCCCTGGACCACCAAATTTCAAAAAGTCCACTTTTTAAAATTTATTATTTCATTAAAATCTTTCCTAATTATCGCGAAATGCTATAGGCCTAGTATGCATTACATTTTTTTTGCCCGCTCTTCTAACCAGTCTCTTATACACATCTAGATGTGTATAAGAGACAGGTCGGTTCGGTCCCAAAAACGCACCTCCCCATCGAAAATCCTGCCTACGAGCCTGTTGAAGTAATATCATCATCATATCGATTCCTTCAGTATCTTTACTATTGATTGTCGACATTGGTTCGTCACAGTAATTGCGCTTCAATATTTCCTTGTTTAATCGTATACAGTAGTGGAAATTTTATTAAAGTCAGGGTCAGGAAAAAGAAAAAAAAAATGATATGTTGTACAAATGATATTCTAAGACACAAAAAGCATAGGCCTATTTTATTAAACAATTTTTGAATATTTAAAAACAGGGGGAAAAGGGGGCGTAACCACCATTTTTCTACCTGATTTCCCATTTTATTTTTTTTTGTCTTAGAAAAACCAGTATACAACATATGAAAATGTTTTTTCCTCCATCCGGAGCCTGACTTTTTGCAAAGGCCCAACAAATTGCATAAAATGAATGAATCTCACTCATGAATTGAAACAATTTGTTTAAGAGAAATCGAGTTCAATAATACCATATTGTGGTCTTTATAATTTGTCGTATCCATATTGCATGATGACACAGAAAAGATAATAGTCTCACTTGGCTGTTTATTAACTATTGATAGCTAGAAAAATAATTTGTTTACAAAACACTTGACATTGATTTCGACTTTAAATGCGAGAGAGGGCGGTTTCCGACACGTTTACTTCCGGGTACCAATGCGACTTCGGCGAATGAGTCATCAGACATTTTCACGGACGGGCGAAGAAATCTGTAGTGGCGGTAAATTTTGCCAATTATTTAGGAAAACAAGTCGCTGTCTCTACACAGCTATCATCTTATTCTCATTGACAGTTATTTTGGACTTAATCAATGTTTAGTTGGCTCTCAGAGGACGCCAAACGGCGAAAACAGCCGGCAGTTTTTAGTTCAGTAAGTGAGGGCCTAAGGAAGGTCTACAATACTACTATTCGCCCATTAGAAGAAGCGTACAAATTCAGTGACTTCCACTCCCCTCCTCATGATGATGCCGATTTTGAGGCAAAACCGATGGTTCTTCTTGTCGGTCAGTATTCGACGGGGAAAACAACATTCATCAAGTACCTTCTTGAGCGTGAATTTCCAGGTATTCGCGTCGGGCCTGAACCGACCACGGACCGCTTTATGGCCGTGATGCACGGCGATAAAGACGGGGTCATCCCTGGCAACGCCTTAGTTGTCGATCCTAAACGACAGTTCCGGGCCTTGGATAAATTTGGAAACGCGTTTTTAAACCGATTCCAGTGTTCACTCACTGATTCTCCAGTTCTAGAAAGTATCACTATTATAGACACACCAGGTATCTTATCAGGAGAAAAACAAAGAGTAGACCGGGGTTATGATTTTATCGGTGTACTGGAATGGTTCGCTGAGAGAGCTGACCGAATTATACTTCTCTTTGATGCCCATAAGCTGGACATTTCAGATGAATTCCGCCGTTGCATAGAAGCACTCCGAGGTCAAGATGATAAGATTAGAATTGTTTTGAATAAATCGGACATGGTCGACCATCAGCAGTTGATGAGGGTCTACGGAGCACTTATGTGGTCCCTAGGGAAGGTTATCAATACGCCGGAGGTTTCCAGAGTGTATATCGGTTCGTTTTGGGATAAGCCATTCCACTATGACACAAACCGTCGGCTATTTGAAGCAGAAGCACATGACTTGTTCTACGACATCCAAAGCTTACCAAGGAATGCTGCTCTAAGGAAGCTCAATGACCTTATCAAAAGAGCACGTCTTGCTAAGGTAAGAAGATGATGAAGTAGCCTAACATGCATTGATTTTCAACAGTCGTATAAAAAATATTTTTAAACAGTGTGTGTAATTAAATTTCTTTACATCAATTCAAAGTTTAGTAACATTTATCATTGCAGGGGAAAATTTAGGGGGGACCGGCCCAGCCCCGCCCCCACCCCCTTTTGGAGGTAAAAAAAAAGAAAAAAAGAAAGAAAAAGAAAAAAATGATAGCCCCCAACGCCTCAAATGTTATTTTCGGGCGTCTAGAACACAAAAAATTCCCCCTAGGTCATTGTTGTCTCGATCGGCCCAAATTTCGGCCCCCCTCTTTTGGACATCTCTGGATCCGCCCCTGCATTGTCATTATGTATTACTGTACAATAATTGTATTCTCAAACTCTCTAAAAAAGAGATATAATTTGGTGTTAAATCCATTTCTGAATAATTGAAAGAACCTCTTTCAGTCAATATCATCATCTACAGTACTAATCTGTATGATTTGGTTCATTCCACAGCGAGAATATTTAAAGTACTGTAGTATATTCCGATGCTTATGGTGACCTGCAGGGTCATTCTTGTTGAGGGAATGAACCTTACTGCTACGCCCCAACCCTTGGTTACTGTTGCTAAGGGCCCACAAAATAATAGCGTAAATGTATGTAAACATCTGCCTTTGGGACAACACGTGTGTTTGTACTGTAGGAGACGTACTTCTGACCTTGTTCTGATTGGCGAGTTGCTAAGTTTGACTCTCCGTATCACGGTCATTGCTATTATTTTTTTTGGGCGATTCAGGTCTTTTGGTTTACCAATTGTTATCTGATACTGTAGATTGGAAGGTTTAAAGAAAATTGAAACACTAATATCTTTAAAGAGTATGCCACTCTGTCAACATTTCTGAAGTGATGCCGACTGGTTTCTTTTCTTGCACAATTCATATTTGCTTCCTCCAGTGTAGTATCTGCTTCATTGCTTAAATGTTTTCCAATGTGGACACACACAACTGACAGTTATATGATCTTAGTTTTGGATAACATTTGACCTTGAATTCCTCATGGGGTCATTTGTGTGTACAGGGTGTACAGTACAGTACAGAGCAGTATAACTTCCTGATTTAATTCATATTCTAGACCCCCAGTTTTTAAACATTCAAAAATCTATATGTCATTAACCCGCTCCCGACTTTTTCGCCAAATGTGTTTTTTGTGTCTTGTGATGCCGACTTGGTCTATTTTGTTGCACAATTATTCATATTTGCTTTCTACAATGTGGTATCTCCTTCATTGCTTAAATGTTGTCCAATCTGCTTAAAGTGGACACCCACAACTGACAGTTATATGACCAAAGTTATGGATAACATTTGACCTTGAATTCCTCATGGGGTCATTTGTGATCATGGGTATACAGTACAGTATAGAGCAATATAACTTCTTGATTTAATCCATAGTCTAGACTGTTAATGTCCAGGAAATATCATTAATAATTTATTATAGTAAAAATAATGATAGAAAATTGATGATGATAATAATACATTTATACATACTGGTAAGATATCAGGTCTAAATACTTTGTAGTGCATCTAAATGTGTGTGAATGTTTATTTGATAAACATATTCATGTGACCAAAAAACATCTGATGACAATAACATATTATCTGATAATAATGATAATCATTACCTACAATCACATTATTTTATTACTAAATATGAACCAATAGAAATATATTTTTTATATAATAAAATTATTGATATTGTAAATCATATTTAATCAGGAATGTTTTCTTTGAAGGAAATTCCTTCACACTTTACATTCAGTATCATATTTTTGTAACATGAACAAACCTAGTACAAGTAGAACTCTTGTAGTCTGAAGCATTTCATAGGAAACTCTCCTACTGTGTGATACAGTACCTGTACTTTAAGAACATTTCCTTGTGTTTAATCTGTTTAAAATGTATTTTATGCACTTAAAACAGAATGGAATGCTCTGTTATCTTCCTGGAATTACCAATGACATTTATTATTGCATGATGAATTGGTTTACTGTACTGTAGTTATAGCAATCTCTTTCCTGACGACTGTTAGCCGTCATGACCAGCACACAACATAGTCTTTGTATTTTATTTTAAGTTTTAACTTTGATCCCAGGGCTCAAATGGCGACTAGTCTTTTTGACTAATTGGGCCACCTTGGTTAAATATTGTGAATAAATAAATTAATAAAATAAATGAATACAGAAGACAAATGTTGAATAAAATTAACATTGTGAGCATAAAATTTATTTTGTCATCATATAATTATAATAAGACAGTGATTACATCTGCTAATTGACTAATTGACAGTCCTTGACCTCTATACCTAACTTAATAAAATAAAAATAAAGAAAACAAATGAGCAAGCCATTATAGTTCATACTTCTATGCTGTTTATAAATATCTAACTACAGGCCTCCCTCTAATTAAAGACCCCTCCAATTAAAGACCACCTTTCTGTGGTCCCAAATGAACAACAGTCTTCTATCTTTTTATTATTCTAGAGACTAAACCTTCTAAAGGCCATTGAAACCCTGGTCCTAAAAGTGGTCTTTAGTTGGAGGGAGACCTGTATTTTTTATGATTATTAGATGACTAAATATCTAACATGATTTTACATGGACCAACATTGCACTACGGTACTACTTGTATACACATGTTAAAATAATCTTTAGGTCCATATTGGAAATTGAGACAGTACTGCATTGCATTGAAAATTTAAATAATATGGATGTATGTACTGTACAGTATGAGTATATTATTGGAAGTGGGTCATCATGAATTCAATAATCATCCTTGTAGGTACAGTAGGTCAACATAGTATTTTTCACAGTATAATCCAACCATCACTAATGGCTCTTTTTTCATAATGATATAAATAATTTCATCTGGTTGGCAGAATCTTCATAAATTAAACCAAAAGTACATATTAAAGCCAGGAAAAAAAAAATTGATATGATCTTGTACAAGACACAAAATGCATATTTGACGAAAAAAACTAGGAAGCAATTAATGAGATACGGATTCTTGAATCTAAAAAGTGGTGAAATAAGGAATGGCCGTTTACTGTACCTACCTTTTTTCTACCTCGTTCCCCCAGTTTTTAAATATTCAAAAATCTGTATGTCATTAACCGCTTCCGAGTTTTTGGTCAAATATGGTTTTCGTGTCTTAGAAAAATCAGTTGTACAGCATATCAAAGAAATATTTTTCCTCCAGAACCTGGTTTTAAACTAAATTTTTTTTTTCAATATATTGGGTCACAGATATTATAAATTATTCTTCTATATAGTACAGTTTGCATTGATGGTAAGGAGAGCGCAATCAATAGTGTGTACTGTGTTGATTCCTCACGTACAGTATGCCTTCTGTAACCTTGTTAATTTGTGATGCTCAATAGGTTTGCAAACTCATCAATATATTCCAGCTAAATCTACTTCTGAATGAAATAATTTAATATGACTATCCCTTTAAATGAAAGTGCTCAAATTTATGAAAAATATGTCTCCATACTGTAAATCCAACTAATTAATTGCTTTTATATGGATTATTGTATGCACTCTGACCAGGCTGTATTACACTAACTCATTCTAAAGAATTTGAATTTTAAAAGAGCCCCGAGACCATTTAATTGTTTAGATACATCCCTTCCTTTTGTGAAGTCTTCGGGTATTATGAAATATCTCGAACCTTCCGCCAATTGTTTATTTAATTATGTATTTTCATAAATCATTCTGTTCTTTTTAAAATAGTGTAAAGGTAAAATCTTCTACTAAGGTCATTGTTAAGTGTGCGTTTATACTGTTTCTGCATAAAGCATCAACTATTTGAAATGTTTGCACTGTCAAATTTTATGTGACAAATTTTATGTGACAAATAAATGTGACGTGCCCATAGTTGGTGTAATATGATATCGTCATTCCCATTTTGTGTGGTCAGTGCCTTTAACAGTAACCAATATTAATATTTTAAAGAATTGTTCATGTTTTTATTTGTAGGTACACGCATTCATCATCAGCACGCTACGTCGAGAAATGCCGTCTGTGTTCGGGAAGGAAAACAAAAAGGCAGAACTAATCAAGAATTTACATGTAACATACGGCGAAGTTGAACGCGTCCACCACATCTCTCCTGGGGATTTCCCTCCTCTTGAACGTATGAAACGAGTATTGAAAGACCAAGATTTCACACGCTTCAGTGCACTCAAACCTAAGTTAATAGAGAAGCTTGATCATATGCTTTCGAACGAGATGACGCGACTGATGCAAATGATTCCGCAAGAAGAATATGACATGGGCAGGAAAGATGGACAGCAAGAAATTAAAGGCGGTGTATTTTTAGGAGTTGTAGATGGCCCCTTTAAGAAGGGCGGAGGGGAAGGTGCCGATTACGGCTCTAGTGAATTAGTCGATTGGGTAGTCGAAGAGTATAAGGATAAGCATAGATCTGTCTTTGAAAGCTTGAATCCCATAGAGGGAAAAGTGTCCGGCGCAACAGCCAAAAAAGAAATGGTAAAATCCAAGCTGCCTAACACGGTGCTTGGCCGCGTCTGGAAATTAGCAGACGTTGACCGCGACGGGCAGCTTGATGAGGATGAATTTGCGCTTGCTATGTATCTGATACAGTTGAAATTAGATGGTACTGAGCTCCCACTTTCACTACCAACACATCTAGTACCCCCATCAAAAAGGTCATTCGCAACCTGAATATTGTAAGACGTATTATCTCCATCGATCTAAACACATCAACTCGTAAAATTTCTCATTTTAAGGGTTTTTTAGGAACCGCATTCTGCTAGTGTTTTCTTATGAGTTATATCAGCAATATTGTTAATAATCATATCAATTTTTGTAACCTAATTGTAATGATTATTACTAAATTCCATTGAGCTATGATAATAGACATGAAGGGGCTGCGTCTTGTGATTACCATGTTGATTTCATAACTTAATGAAAGCCATTGACACGGATGGTGTATTTTAACAAGTAATCGCTCACTAATTATTTCAATTTAGTCTTAAATACATTTTATATACGACATTTACATTATTATATACACTAAGCTAATAGTATGGTATTTTCCTTGTATTCTGTGTAAGCATAAACAGTTAGTATCAGGCATACTCGCATAAATTAATTAATTCTCTATCAAGGTATCAAGAAATAGGTTGTCTTTATTAGCATATTCTAATGCTAAAATTATTCCACAAATAACTGATTCATACTAGGCAAAAGGTTGCAAAGAATGCATGCTAAATGATAAGAACTATCAACATTTATCAAATTTTCTTTGACAAAAACTGTTGTATGCCCATATATAGTCATGGTGTGCCTATATATGGTCATGATGTGATGTCATCATGACCATATTTAGGCATATCACATTTTGTCTTGTGTGAATAATGTATGGCTAATTGTCAGTGAGGTGCACGTCATAAGGTCTACATTAGATGTCACTGGCATATCCCTCCAAAGGTCTAGCGTGATTGAGGTACCACAATGTGTCCCAATAACCTACAGTAGTACCAAAACAAAATGACAATGTACTATTCTTAAATCTTTATGTAGTCATTCGATTGTGAATAACACCCTAATAATAGGAAATGTTTCTATAGTTTTGAAGGCGTGTACTTCCTGACTGCCAAGTGTAAAGTTTCACATTGTGTAATTGCTCTGAAATGAGTTGAGTTGTAAACAATAATTGAAGTTTAGCTATTCATGACAAAAGTATTTTACTTGACTAAAAACATTCGTACCAAATGTTTATTGCTCAACATTTGATCAACATGTTGGTAAAATGTTCCATCCAAGTGGTGCTCTAATCCATACCGGTAATCAAACCCCCCCCCTCCCTCCTTTCTTCCCTTATTTATCTCTGGGCTAATATCACTTCTTTTTGTTTCCCATTTTCTTTTGGCCCTAATTTTCCCCTGCCTTAAAAAAGTTTAGTGCAATAATCAAATGTAAAAGTATTAAGCAGAAAATTGACAACTCACTTTACAAGGAAGGAAACCCTGTAAAAAAAGTGTTGGACGATTAACCTTTTGTAAACCAATCTGTAGCCCTTGTTAGAAAAACATAAATTTCCCCTGGTTCATCCCTACCATAATTTTAACTTTGTTTTGAACTCAATATTTTATGTATGCTTATTACTATGCAAGCCTGAGTTACAAAGTGAAACTGATGCTCTAACAACTACCTGTACTGTATGACTATCTTGTAGGAAATCTAGTTTCTTTTCTCGTCAACAAAAATAATACAGGCTATTGTTAATTATTAATGTTATGAATTAAAATCCAGTGACACGATGTTGCAATACCTCCTTAAGTTATTCTTATTCTGTCAAACAATTTCTGCATCTTTTCCTTATTTTTTTTAGAGTGTGCTTCAACGACAAATGCTCCAGGATATCATTTTGAAATCTCATTCCATAAGGAAGTAAATTTCTATATAAAGAACATGAATACTGGTTGTTATTGCAGTATTAGCTGCCATTCCTTATATAATATAAAATACATGCAGAATAATAACAAGACTGTTACAAAGGAAAAGAGTACTAAATTGTTGGCCATAAGAATTTAGATCCTCAATTAAGGAGATCATAATCTTACACATTGATAATAAACAAGGTTGGTTGATTGATTGATTGCCTAACTGGAGAGGTATAAATACCTCCTTTTACTAACAGTTTTTGTTAATAGTATAAACAAATATAATTTGCATTCAACTTTTAATTGGTAATATTTTAAGAAGTACAAATGGCATTTAAGATTAATGTGTTTATACACTATGTAGATGTATGTTGGTTTATATAAATTCTGTCAGATAAATGAACATTTTAACAATTAAAATTAAATTAATAGTGATTACTTTTGTAATAAGCCATACATATGTATATTCCCATGTATGCTGTCACACAAACACACTTTACATATTTAATTTTTAGTCTTTAATAAATGGCTTTCAGTAATTTGATGATCAATCAATCAATTCTATTGATTTCAAAGGTGCTTCCATTACACACAATATATTGTTTATATATGCTAACCTATTTACAATACTATTAATATTATTGTATATTTTAATTACCAATATTATATTTGTAAATTTATTGATTCTGTCTCTGGCCAAAGGATTCGTAAAAATTGAATCGTAAAATGTTTAGAAATTATAAAATATATTAATTAAAAATTTTAGATCTGAAAAAAAAATATGGTAATTCTTTGATAATGTTTTATTTGTTATAATATAGAAACAAAATTTAGATAATAATTCTTGTTATATCAAGATACTGTGTAGGCCCATGCTCCTGTATTATATAAACACCCTATTAGATAAATACCCTTTGTACCCAATATCTCATCACATTTAAAGAAAAATATATTGTATAGGCCAAGTGTTTCTCTGGAGAACTATATAACTAGAAGGCACCCTGGGGCACTCCAATACCCCCATCAGCTGATATGTAGGTTTGATGCTAATTTAGAGAAGCATAAATGCTTTGGATGTGCTGCATTGAATATTGCAATGTAATACTAATATAAAAAGGAAGTTTTACTGAAGGGTTGAGTTACAGTTTTGTTTCATATCCTGCACGATATCAGAAGCCCCTCCCAGTTCATAGCTCACGGCATGACCTTAATGGTTCTGCCAACTTTTAAATTTTTATTCAAGGTCAAGTCTCATGGGGAAAAAATATTTAGAACAGGTTTTTTTCAGATTAATTTTCCAAAAGCGTTTTTGATATCACTTAGAGCTGGTAGAGTCTAGACTTACAATTATTTAAAATGAAGTTTAATTACACAGAGCCAATAGTAAATTCCATACATTGATAAGTGTGAAGTATTAGAGTGGTGTTTACATAAGTAACACCCAATGAGATACCTTGTTTAGAAGCTCCATTGAGAGTGTGTACAGTAGGCCTATGGTGTAAACTAAATAGTCATTGATTCCTGTCCGTTAAAATGTTTATTTTTAAAATAATCTTAAAACTATTTTCTTTTTAAAATTATATTCTAAAAAAAAAAATATCCTAGCTGTCTGTTAGAATATTTTAATTTATTCAAAATTGAAGATTGGATGTATTAACACATTTTTTTTAAATTAAAAAGCATGGTGTATGTAAAAATAATGCATAGTGTCCTCCAGTTTGGCATATGGTGATGTTTACAGTGGTGTTTATGATGGTAGATAGTCTTGCTCGTAAAAATAAAATCCAGATATACCTCTGACGGAGGTAATCTAGTCAGTACATTCCTGGTGATATAGTATCAAGGCTGTAAGAAACAGCCCTGATAGTCCCTCCCTCTCACTCCATCTGCTAAACTAAGTACCACTCAATCTCACAGGTGCACGAGTGCTTAACTGAGTACCACTCGCTAATATAGTGGTTATGCGAAAGCTAAAGGAAGTTCCTCTCCTAGCTAATTTTCACTCAATTCTTGGTACGCAAGTGTCACTCACTTATGAGGTAGTTATACGAGTGCTAAATTAAGTTCCACTCATTGCTAAATTCCACTCAATTGTATGCGCACTTGCTCCTATGTGTATGGTTACTCAGTTCACTCCTAGTTTAGCAGGTTGGATGTGTTTAATCCAACATTCCTGTTATTTAGGGCATAGATTTTGATAATTATTACAGTATTGGCATGTCTCTGTGTTAAACAGTGGATAACATTTTTTTTTTTATTCACAAGAATGACATAAAATTGGTTGGTTCTATCTCAAATAAAAAAAATCCATATTTAATTTTAGCAATTTTAAAATTATAATTTTACAGTATTTTCCAATGTTGTATGAATTGTGGTAAATTTTATTAAATTTTCGCTGGAAAATTAAATTTACTTGCTGGTGATGATATAATTAATGTTGAAATATTGAATCCCGACACGATAGCGTGCATTTCGATACTTTCTGTTTGTGTTAAAGTAAAAAATAATATTTCTTTTATTATCTGCTGTTTAAAGGTTTATCTCAAATCACTCACAGTGAGTATATTTAAAAAATAAAAAATATTTTAAGATTATTTTAATTTGTTTATGTTAAATATTTTTGTGAGGTTGTTAGTATTTGTTATCTTTCATCTTCGACAAGGGAACATTTTGTAGTCAAAACCATACAGAGAAGTGAATACCAAAGACTTCTATAAACATAAATTTACATTTTAAAATTTGGTAACTCTACTGAACATTGCAGTACAATATATCTATTATTATTATTATTATTATTATTATTAACATATTAATTATATAAATATGAATTATATTTATAAGTAATTTGTTAATAACTTTAGTAGTTTATTAGTTGTTTACATAGTTTGCATTTAAGTTAATGCTTTTTCTTTTTGTTTATATAATCACTTGTTTTGAAATTGAAAGTAACTCTGTATGTTAAATACCTTTTTAACATAATATTTTATTTTGTTTATTTCAGCTCAATATATTTTTTATCTACGGTATGGTACTGAATACTTATTTTGTGGTGAAAAGATAATCCCAGCAATAATTATGGTATTGAGAATGTTATAAATTATTTGCAAAGTAAAAAAATGTCAGTTTAATTATTTTACTGCTTAACGTATTTTGTTCACAATAAGAATTTAGTTTTAACAAAATGTTTACATAAACACTGAGCATAGATTAAAAAAAAGTAATGACTTTTAAATTGTTGGTAAACTGGAAGGATATTATTAACGAACATCATTTGGAAAATTTTAAATTTTATTTTAGAGTAAAATTATATTAGTCCTTAAGGGTAATACAAGCATAAAGAATATGCCGTCAGTTAAACACAACATTTTAAGGCATAATTTATAAATAATTTATATATTTTAATTGTTATTGAGTTATATTCAGAAACTTGTTTTTGTGAACACAAACAATAGATTAGATATGAAAATAATTAAGTGTTTTATATTAGATGTTGAAATCTACAATGTTACACCACAAAAGTAGTTTGCTTGCATGTTGTTCACTGTACTCTAATGACTGCTTAATCATTGTTATTTACCTAGTATGGATTAAAAAATAGCTGATGAGGCAAAATGACAAATGATTTCTTGTGTATCAATTCAGTGTTATTCAAATACAGTTAAACTTGCCTAAGTCGACTCTGCCTATCTCAAGTAATTTCTAAGTAATATTTTTACATGCCAAATTGTTTGTTTTCCATACAACGATCTCGTAGTCTAATTTTATTCAAGTCGAACAATTTTTCAATGCCATTTTAGACAGGTGATTGCTAAGGTGTACAGGGGTCATTGGTATGTGTAAGTGTCTTGGTGTAAAGGTGTGACTACCAGGGTACAGTATTATACTGTACAGGGGTTACTGGTTTGTCACAGGTGTTCAGGTGTCACTGAGAGTGTTTAAAGATTCAACTGGAGTATGCAGGTGTGACGGCCAGTGTATGCAGGCAGATACTAGAAATATAAGAGCACTCGCATAGCAAAAATGAGGCGGAAATTGGTCTAGACGTACACGCCGCCCTTCTCTTTTTATAGTGCAAGTTTTCTATACTTGGTCCAGACGTATAGGGTGCCCTTCCGTTGCCAAGTATATCCAGATGCACACGGCGCCCTTCTTTTTCCAATTATGGAGAAAAACGTTATCACTAACGTTATCCAGTCATACAATTCTGCGCTTTGGTGTCTGTCATTTTACTGTTTTGATTTATTTATGCCTGCTTGTTGTATCTTATGGATAATGGCAACGATTTCTACCTCCGCAAAAGGAGGTTATGTATTCACAGTTGTGTAACGTTGGCATAAGCTTTTTAGATCCAGCTGTACGCAGCGCCCCATTGTTTGTATTTGAACAGTTTTTTTCTGTGGAGAAATCTATCTTGAGTTTCTAGTATCTTTGTTGCAGGTTAACACTGCCAATGTACAGAATCGTAACTGGGGTGTACAGGTTTGACTGCCAGGGGTTACCAGTACAGTATATGTGTCATGGGTCTTACAGGTGTCATTACAGGTGTATAGAGGTGTCACTGGAGTATGCAGATGTGACTGCCAGCATATTCAGATGTCAGTGGTAAATGCAAATATCATGGGTGTGAAGTTGTCACTGCCAAAATATAGAGGTGTCACTGCAAGGGTATACAGGGGTATGCAAGAATGCATAGGTGAGTGGAACATGCTAAGACTTGTGGTATGAAAGTACGACTGTCAGTGTACACAGTTGTCACAAGGATATACCTCATCACACAGGGGTTTGCATTACAACAGGGTATGGTTGATTCAATAGTCATGTTAATTCTAAGTTATATCAGTGATTACTATTTATTAACTATACACAGAAGAGCTTAGCAGTAGTAGCTCTAAAAATATCCACACAATATTATTGCTGAATACTTTTACAATGTATATCTTTCGGGATTAAATTTTTCAAGATAATGCAAAGTACACACAGGCAATGTTATGCATAGAAAGTTGATTAACCTTCTCTATATTTATAAGAATTGAATTCTAAATTTTCATGAGTTTATACAAGTTCGTAGGTCAACTATTTTGTATGAGGCACCAAATAGGGAAAAACATTTTCCCCCCTTACATTTTGAACACTTAAAAAGATAATGTTATCTGCAACATCATAAATCAGACTTAGAATTCAAACAACCTCAAGTCTACTTAATAGCAATAATTTATTTTATCCACTTCAGAAAAAAGAAGCATACATTCAACAACATTTACAACATTTACACAAGCCAATAAAATCCACAGCTGGAAGAAAACACAGATTACCTCCAGATTATATAAAATAAATGTTTATATGAGTAGAACATATTTATGAGATGAAAATATGGAATATTCCATTCAGTGAGGCATTTTCCTGAGGTAAAATATAGAATGTTTTTTCAATGAGGCTAAACTAGGTTAAATGGAACATTCCATTTTTCACCTCATTAAACATCCATTGTACAAATGAGTAACAATAATTACATAATTTATACAACATCCACCGTTTATTAATCTGTGTCATTCAGTATATGGATGGTGGATCATGTGTGCTTGCAGGGTCAATTGTCAAAGATGGTGTTTGTATGCCAACATGCATTTTCTTAACTCTATTAAGTCCTATGCTGTACTATTAATCCCATATAATATGTAATCAATCAATCAAATAGAAGGCTCTAAATACATATGTATATATATATATATATATATTTATGCATTACTATTTGGTGAACTTTCTACTCATCATACATTGTTTCAGTGAAATATAAACAGTTCATTTTCATATCTCAAGGAAGTTTATAACTTTAGTATCACAATCAATTTTTAAATTTATTTATATTTTGATTAAATTTATAAATTTTCTTTCTCTTGATATCACTAAGGTGACAATCCTAATAAAAATTGAATATGTACAGGCATACACAGTATTTACAAGGTGTGTACCCCAGGGGATAAGTTGAAAAACCATTGTTAAAAATATACATTATGACAATCACTATTACTATTATGCTGATTAAACTAACATACCTGGGTTTACCAATCTAGTAATCACTAAAACCTTTTTATACTAATATTTAGATGTCTTTAGAATTTATTAAATAAGTATATAAAAACAAAACATGGTAGATGTAAATGTTTAGAAGGAATGTACTTAATGGAAGTGACCTTTTCTTCAGATCTTAGAAAATAATGCAGTACAAATACTGTATTAGATAATAAATATAATTCAGTGTTAAATCATGTTTTAATAAAATTTATCAAAAACAATCATCTTTGTTAAAAATATAACTCTAAATTTGGATGACAATCTTAAAGCACTTATACTCAATGGACGGATTATTATATTATTATTTTCATATATAATTATATTAAAATATTTAAGTAAGATATGTTATAAATATCTGTTGCAAATACTGTAGCTTCTATGGTATAAACAGAGAGTAAGAGAGAACTTTTGTTATCTCATTCGAGAATTGATTCGGCAAAGAAATTTCTAATTTCTGTTTATGGTTGGTAATTAAGTTTACTGTACAAGCAGAAATGGAAGAGCTAATGGTCGCAGTAACATACACATTAGAATTAACGTTACTGATACAGGCCGTTTCTCACCCAGGAACTAATAAATTTAAAGACTTTAAATTATACTTGTAGCCTTCTATGAAAGTTGGGCAGGAATCATGTCAAGAACCCCTTACGTAGAAGTGGCTTCAAAGACCCTGTTTGGGGTAATTTTTGTAATTAAAAAAAAAACCACATTAACATACTCAACTGTTCATTAATTAGTAACAAGAATTAGAGGATTTCCAATTAGGACAGTAAGTTTTATCTACTGATATATTTAAAATTCAGTGCGACTTACTAAAGGGAATGAGGGCTATTGTTTTGGAGACGGTTCGTATGACAAATCGGGGTTCGTAAATGAGGGGTTCTACTGTATATAAAAGTAACCATAGAAACCAAAAAATAACAAACAAACATCTACTAATTTCTGATCAATGGTCATGTGTTTTTATAGCGCCTTCCACAGTAAAAGGAGCTTTTAAACCACAACAAACATATACTAAATTTATGAACAGGCGCGAACGTGAAGAGGAGAAAAATGCACATCCACGATTTTGAGATAGCGTTGCCATCACTACCACTTACACGCAGGTACCTTGGCAACTGTTCTATTTTATTCAAAGGTGGTGTTCTTTTTCAAAAACAAAGGCAATTAGTTGGTTTATCAAGGTAAAAATTCACGAAATAGTCTCATTGTTACTTTTACGGACTCCAAATAAAGGAAAAAACATGGGGTTGACGACTTACTCGCATAGAAAGCCAACCATGCTTACACGTGTACTTAATTCAACAAGTTTAAATAGTAATACAGTACAGCGCAAATGTCTCAATTCAATCACTTGGCTGTTAAGACAGTAATTAAGTGTGATTTTCCTATATATGGCCATGATGTTAATGACATACCACCCATAAATTGGATATTTTTCACACAAGACTTGATGGTGTGTTCAAAGCTTTAGTGCTTATTTAGTAATGAGTAATAATGAGAGTTATGCACGACAGATGAAAGAAACAGTATATTGTTATCATACAAGCTACCTGTCATAAATTACAAGAAAATACAAGAACTCATTCATAGTAAATTATCGGAATAAAGCCAGGAAAAAAAACCCATTTTGATATGATGTAGAAATTATTTATCTGACACAAAAAGCATATTTGACAAAAAACTTGGAAGCGGTTAATGAGATACAGATTTTTAAATATTTAAAAACTGGGGGAAAAGTGGGAAAAAGGGTGATTATTGGGTAAAAAGTCGTGCAACCACCCTTCTTTTTCCACTTCCTTCCTTTTTTTCCTCCAGAGCCTGACTTTACATTATCCTCTTAAGCCTACTTCCTAGATTCTTCTCAAAATATGTACACTGTATATACACAGTAAAACTGACACCAGAGGATGGCTTTAACTGCGCACATGTCAATCATCCAGTTGACAAAGTAAAGCCACGCCCCTTGTGATCCATAACTCAGGGTTCTCGTATGTTGGGAGGTCAACGGCCGTGACAAAGTTAGTTGATAGTCCTGTTGATGAGAGGGTTCCAGCCCTAGCTGATGTCCTGTACACTGGGCATTGGTATAAATACAAACCTTCATTTTCCTTTTTGCTGTGAGATGAAGCAAAGCTTATCTACATTGAAAAAAAAACAATGTTTCACTACAACTTTACTATTAGAATAATATAATGTCTCTTACATTTAGTATTGTATATCGGTTCTCTCTTTTAACTACATATTGACTTGAGTATCTATTAATTCTACTCACAACAGAAAATTTGACTGAAGACACAAACAAACAACCAGCCAATTTGCCGCGACCCACTTCCCGGGATTTTAAAAACACTCAAAATATGTCATAAATGGTAGACGAAGTTGGAAGTATAGTGCTTAAATGATACTTAAAATGCACTCTCTTTAGTACAGCAAATTTTAGCATGATGTCAATTTTTTTTTTTTTAATCTTAAAGAGTCTCCAAACCCTCTAATCTATTTGGCAACCCAATTTGGTCACGATCCAAAGTTTGAGAACCACTGAGGTAGAGGAAATCAGGTGAAAGTTCATCTATCGGCCATTATAATTAAAGTTCACCTATTATAATAATAAAAATATGGTTTTAGTTTCAAGAATGATTAAGAACAGATGAACACAAACTAATTATATACGTATGTAGTGTCACCAATGTTTTTATCAGAAGTTTATTTACCTTAGTTGGTAGAAAATGAATGTATGGCATAGGACTGAAGCGGCTGTCGGGCAATGAGTCTTGGAGAATTCCTTGAGACCTATTGAAGTGGGCGCCGTCCAGAAAAAGACCAAATACTAAAACACCTTCATCGGGTACTTGTACAGATATCTCCTAAAAATGTAAAAATACCCATGAACATTGAGTACAAATCTACATATCCTTGTAGCCTTAATTAGCGTAGGTGTTGTCGTCGCCCATTTACAAGTGAATGAGGACAGATCTACTTTTGTTTTGGGGGTGTTCTTAAAGAAACAGTGGCAATTAGGTGGTTTATCCAGGTAAGTATTCACCAAAATAGACTAGCAATTATGCTTAATGAAATAAAGGCAGGGGTTCAAATCCTGAATTTAAGGTTTAAAGCCACTGCCACCACTGTGCCAATGGGCTCCCACATAAGTACATCTTAACCTCCCAGTGCTACTTCAAAAACAAAATAGTCATGCAGATACTGTACATTTTCCTGTTTAAGGTTCATACCTTGAAAACAAGTTCTTTAACATTAGTAGGAGAGTTCAAAGAATCCTCATCCTGATCATCTGGAGATCTTCTGGTTGACATCACTTGAAAAGTAAATGTTAAAGAGTCCACAGGAAGCTGGTGCTGTCTTGCATGTTTCTGAAGAATAGCTGTTGTAAAACCTTCAATCAAATGAGTCAAGACATTATTATAGCATATCATTTAACTTAATGGAATTAAATAATAGAAGATACAACTTACAGATAAAAAAGATCAAACAATACATGAAGCAACAACATTACAAGTAAAGGGCTCTGGCATGCACACCTTGCCTGGCAGGGGAGGATCAAGCCTGTTAAGGAAGTGTACAAGCAAAGCCCCTGGTAGGGGTGCAAAGGGCGAACCTAATTGAAGCTCTAGCATCTTTGTTAACATTAAAGTTGTATTTGATTGATTTTACTGTTTAGCATGTTCAGAGATAAGCTTCTAAATCTGACACTGTCTGGTCTAGAGAAACCAGTCAGGAATGATTACCTCAAAGAGTCTAGCCTTAGGACTAATACTCACATTTAAACCACCCAGATAAATTTAATCAATCCTAATGAATGCTATAATGGTGACATTTTGTTCCTAGAATGATACATTTTCATACTGGCGAACATTTGATTAACTTCTGATACTGATGCATTCAAGACCCTCCTTCAAACTTATCTCTTTTAATCAATGATACTTATTTTTATCTTAATAGTATCAGTGACAAACAGTGTTTTTCTCACAGGTGCTATACAAATTCTGTAATTTATTATTAATATTATTATACAACTCCAAAATCATGTGTGTATTATCAACTTCTCACCTTGAGGGAAGAAGAAGGCAGATAGCCAGAATGCAGAAGGAGCTGTTCTTTTGGATTCCATATCCAGCATTTCTGTTGATGTCCCTTCACCAGTCTTCTTGCTTCCTTTCTTCTTATCAACTGTAAGTTCCTGCCAACATGCGAAGAAGTCAACTCTTTGCTGTAGATCAACTAACCATGCTCCCAGTGGCTTACAGGAAGCATACGCTACCACCTGTAATAAAATGTTGAAGAGGAATTTGTACCTCCATATTTTTCTATTTAATTTATTTCTACCTATCAGGTTTTCATATGGATATATTTACTGATCTGAAAGCATTACTTACCTTCCATAGCGTAGGAACCTTTTGGGCTAGTAACGCATAGTACATTTCCTCAAGCTGTTCTGACATCACAACTTCCCCTTTAAGAGCCTGCCGGAGGGACTTTGATGACTTGTGTATCGCCTTCAGCAGATGATCAAACCGGCCTATCTCCTGATGGAGGACTGTATCAAGAACTGACGATGTCCCATCAGCTCTTGAAGGATCTAAAATAATGATGGGAAAGAAACATATACATGCAAACATGAACAATGAAAGGCTAAATGTAATTCATTTTGTATTTATTTATTCATTCACTGATTTGTATATCAATTATCTTATGAATTATTCATTTATATATTATTTAATTAATTTAATTATGTAATTATTTATATATTTACTTATTTACTTATGCAGACTGTTTAGTGAAGAAAATAATGGGTATGCTGCATAAAACATCCGTGGGTTACACACCTTGGTCCCGAGATGCCTTAGTCTTTGGTGGTTTATCACCCTCATCATCATCATGTCCCACCACATTGGTAGGCAGCTTGTTCTGAATATCAACTAGCAACTGTTTTACCATACTGTCACTGCTCATATCCACCCTGAGTAAAAGAGTAAAAACAATATTAAAAAAACAAATGTTAAAATTCCATCAATCAATCAATCGGCTATTTTTAAGGCGAACATGTCTAACCATGGGAATATGCTTGAAGTATCACTGTCTCTAAATTACTTCTCCGGTAACCCTAAAAGAAAATATAAACAAAAATGACAAACAAAAATTTTAAAAGCAGGTGAGGGATAGAAAACCATTAATTGAAAAACCAAAATGAATAAAGATTTTCACATCAAATTTGAATTGCCTAATTAATTCAAGAGTTCTCATGATTAAGTTGAACTTCATTGTTAAGAAGAGAGGCTAGCCACAGAAAATAAGTGAGCATTCTAAATGACAGAAGCTAATAAAAGGTTCTTGCCAGCAGGTCAAAGACCTTGCATAGGCTGATAAGGAAGAAGTTGACAATGACATTGAAGAGAGCACCAACTCTCCAACTTACCCTCCAATTGAGCTGTGCCACCTTGGCTGAACACTTGCAACAATGCTGATTAGACTGCTGCCCTCTTTCTCCTGGAATGCCTTCTGCGCATTAGCGTGCATACCAAAAATATCTGGTGAGTCAATGTCAGGTAAACCATCTATGTATACCTGCACATCTTGTAAACTGTACTGCTTGGCTAAGGGGTGGTATGTCTGAAAATAAAAGAATAAACTATCACTATTAGAATAACATAGTTTTGATTGTATAGCACTTTTATAAAACATTTGCATACAATAGTGGGAACTTGTAGTTTAAAATAGTTTTTTGGGCTGTTAAAAATGTTAATTATTTCTTTGTAAAAATCCAAATCCAACTTACTTACTTACTTGGTATGTCATACTGTGGTTTCATACATACCGGCTTGAGAAAGCTTCCTGTATGGAAGTGAAACTTCGATAACAAAGTAAGTTGGATTTGGGTTTTTACAAAAAAAGAATTAATAATTGAAACGATTGAAATCCTGATGAATTGTTTTGCTAAGTTTTTGGGCTTCCGGTTACAGGATTAAGAATAATGTGATGAATTATGAGTTGTATTACCTTGCTGTCGGAGTAGAAATAACCCGGTTCCAGGGCTTCCTGACAAAAGTACTTTTTTAAGATACTTCCCAAGCATCTCCTATCCCAGTTGTCTGTGACCCTTCCTCCATAACCAACCTCTCCTATCTGATACTCCAACGCTGGCCATGGAATCATATCCTCTCTGGATAGCAGCATCTGAAGTACTTGTATAGAAACCTGCAAGAAGGAAGATGTGTTGTAAAAAAAAGGCTGGTCTCCGCTCAAACCCTCAATCTACTGTATAAGGCCTCAGCTCTTTTGCTGTATGATTTTGGATCAAATGAACAGTCAATATTAATAACAATAATAATAGTGCCAAAGATTTATATAGCACCAATTTCAAACCAATGATGAAACGCGCTGAGCGTTATTACCCTTTGTCACTGGATAACATTCAACGGCAAACCAGCGCAAAGTGTAACATTCTCTGCTACCAGGAGTATACCTAGTTGTGTGTGTGTACTCAAGCAACAAAACTAGTATAAATTCTCATTTATACTAATGGGTAGAGAGAGACAAGCGTAGATAAAGTGCCTTGCCCTAGGACAAAAGCGACTTGCACAGTGAGAGTTTCGAACCCTGAACTCAATGATAGGAGTCTAAGCCATAACTGATGCACCAACTACAATTTAATTTATTCAAGTATTTACTTACATGTAAATCAGATATAGTGAATTCATAGGGAATGTTCCAACCAAGCGTTCCATACTTTTTCCTCTCGTGGACAACAGCGTTGAAGAAACACAGACCAAAGAGAAGATTCTTCCAGCTCTTGCTTGGGCTGCCATCATCCCATAAAGCCTCATTCAGACTGCTGGTGAGGGAGCGCTGCAGATTACCTTTCAAGCCATGTGGGGACTCAACAGTCATCTAAAGCAAAGAAATAAATTGCATGTAGAATACCACGGCAGATGTATTGTAAAGTAGAAAGCATTAAAAACGTACTGTGAATCAGTAATCAAGTCTTCGGAAAGTTGAGGGTGTTTCTTAAAAATTGGCACAATCTCCAATACTGTCGCGAACAAGCAAAAATCTCCCACAAACTTGTGATGACTGCATATTTTTACTACTGTATTACCAACTGTCTCCCTAAATTCAGCTGCCATGCACAGCAATTTGCAATTATATATATTAAGAAAGATCATTAGACCAGACTTCCTGGAAGATGCTTCTCCCAACATTGTACTGTGGAATATTAATTAAGAATATTAAGCACTGAGGAATGTAAGTGATTAATTGATTAAAAAAACGTAAATTTGTTATTGTTGTTTGTTCAGACAATAGCCCTTGATGGCTCAAGTTTCAATACAGTAATTGAATCATGAATTTTGAAGTACAAAGTTTGTTTACCTTTAATCCAACCTGAAGAATGGAGACCGGAAAAGATGGATCTGGTTTTGAGCTGAGCCACAAACGGAACTGAGGATCTACATCAGCGTGTGGTTTATTGAATCTAGAAATAGGAAAAAAGAGAGATCAACAATCAGGAAAATAATAACTTGAGCTACTGAGGGATACACAGATTGTTCAAAAAGTTTCACCTACCCTTCAACAATAGCCTGGAGCCTCGGCATGAAAGAGGCTGCAAGATGGCAGTTCTGCAGGAACACCCAACGACCTTTCAAGATCTGTGCCTTAGCAATCAATTCCTCAGCCTTAGGTCCCTGTCCTCGTCCAAGCGAGATCATATCCAAATGTAATGTGCTGCCACGTTGGTCCTTAGCAAAGCGCATCAGTTCAACTGTTGGGTCCACACCTGGAAAGGAAGATAAAAAGGACAGGTAACAAAGGTGTGTCGAGCTGTGAAAGCAATTGGCAGCAGAGAGATCAATGGAGGAGCTGCATAGAAACATATTTTACTCATAAACAGACTGGAGCAGACTTCACATAGTTCTATCCGGTAATTGGTGAGTCCAGTTGTGAAACAAAGAAAACAAGGATGTTCTTTACCTGGTGACAAGATGAATATCAGAGGATGCTTAGCACTTGATTCATCAAATACTTCCTTAAGATCCAGACCACCTCTTGCCAGGTACTCTGCTCCCATTAGCTCCTTGATGTAAGATTTCACACTTGTTATCTGGCATTCTGGTTTCAGTACTTTAATCATAATTATTCGCTCAAATAGCTTTAAATTTTCCCAGCGGAAGAAGGTTGACTCTTCTATTTACAAAAATATAGGTAAAATGTTTACTGGAATACATACATAACATAGCTTAACCAAATTTACAAAATCTAAATTTATGTATTAATTATTTTCATATATATAATATAAATATATAATGGAATAAACACATTTCAAATGTAAATAAAGAACAGATAAACTATAAATAAACAGAATGCTATTATTTTTTATTTGAGAGTAGTGTAAAACATAAAAATCATAAAACCTTAGAAATATGCTTCATACCTGAGGTCCCAGCAGGTTCATCTATGAGATAGAATGGATCCTCTGAGCGTACAAACATCTCCCACTGCTTGATGTTATTTACAATGCTGTGACACAACCCTTGGAACCCATTCAGTGTCATCGACAAATACTGGCATTGCTTCCAACAGCTCTCAGAGATCCATTTTGGAGGCTTTGATGTCACATGACCGCTTACATTAATTGTGCTGCGGACAGATGATGCAGACGATCCCCGAGAACCTGGAGGTCTTTTGACCCCAGCCTCTGCTTCCAGTCTTTGCATGGCAGTCAATCCTGGAAAAGAAGAATTCAAAATTTAGGTATATAACATCTAAAAACACAAAATACCCACAATTAACAGATGTTAAAAATCATAACTGCATCAATTACCATCATGTTTTTGAAGTTGTTCTGCAGTCGCAAGTTCTGCCAGGACATTGGTTTGCAGGAATGTTTGCCATTCTGTGTCAGATATAGCATGGTCAACAGGTTGCTCTTCTGTTGTCCATGTTCCAACTCTTTTGATACTGCTACACAGCAAGAATGAGAACACAAGCTGGTGTTTAACAAACAAGGCCTTGGAGACAACTCTGAAAGAAGGACAGAGGAAAAGATTATTCATTTTGTTAAATTTTTATTTTTATTTTATTCAACTTTAACAGGCAAGAACAGAACAGATAAGACGATAAGACGGTGTAGCATCCTCAAGCACTCATATGAATTTGTCGCTTGATAGTCATTCAAGACTGTGTATGCGAAGCTTTAATGTAAATGGCTGTCACACAAACAAGGTATGCAGCATTTCTGTTTATATGCACATGTGTAGAGGTAGGGTAAGGTTTCACATGGTTGTATATAAATAAGGCATTTGCCTTGTCAAATTACCTATAAATGCTTTTTGTGAGATGTGACACCATGTTCTGGAGATGTTTCTCCAAATCAAATTCACTTCTTTCACCAGTTTGGATCCTCTCAGACAGGTTTCTTGAAAGGTCTGGGCTACTTCTTGCACTGGAAGGTCTAAGACGCCCTGCAAGAGCTTGTCTACTACCACTGGATGGTCTGCTTGAGATCTGAGACTTGGTCTGACTTATACAAGTGCAGAACATCTCTTGGAACCAGGGTAATGAGAACTGGTACATAACATCAATGCTGGCGAGATCTGCCAACACAAAGTAGAGAATGGCACCTCTTGTTGCAACCTGATAAAAAAAAATATGCACATTAAATTAACAGTAAGTAATAAAGTGCTAAGGCATCATCTACAAAAAAAAATTAAATTACAGACTGGAAATGCTACAGAAAAAAACTTACTGAAATATATTTTTTCCTTGCATGGTCCAGCTCTTTCTGAGTAATTTCAGACTGCAGTAACCGCTGGTGGATCTCTTCTGACATCTTTTTGCTCATCTCCAGAGTCTCCACAAGGTCTTGGTCATCTAGAATGTGACCTGATGTACAACAAATTATAATAATTACAAAAACAATTTTAAAATCAACAATTATTTTCTAAAATATATTGTACTTATAAACCATCTTATTACCCAAAACATTAGTGATGTCAACAGTCTATAAGTGAGATACACATCCAAATAAATACATGCCAAGCTCTATTTCACAGAATTTACCTAAAAAATAATGGAATTATCTTTCCCAGTACTCGTACACAACAAAACCAAATATTCTAACTTCTTTCACTTCGGTTAGTATGTCAGAACATAGGAAGCGATAGCTAACCAGTGAGTATTTTTTTGAACCTAGTTTGAAACTTGGCATATACCTATTAAGTTTTAACAAAATACACTACTTACCTTGTGACTTCTGTAAGAGGCTTAGAGATCTGTCCTCAAGGTCTCTTAACTCCTTGGTATCATTAGCAATGCTTTCAAGTAACTCACCCCTTTGCCTCTCAAGTAACGGTTGCTCCTGTTAAAGAAACACCAATTGTCATCCAGTTAATTATAATCAGCAAAGCTTTCTCATCTATAAAATACTGATGCAAGAGAGCTATGTCAGCCGAAAGGAAAATAGAGATAAACCTGCAATGAAGATGCCAATGGGGGCAGCACCGTTAAAGAACCTTAATTATGTCAAACTTTGTGATTACCTGTTGAACAACAGTTGAGAGAAGCTGATCTTGTAGCCCTTCAAATGTAACAGTGAAGTTGATGAGTCCGACTTTAATGCAAACAGCTGGTAGGAAGTGAGGGTTTGGCAGACCGCAGCACATGTATAATCTGAAATTCAAAACCATTATTTAAATTATATACATCACTGTGAAGAGGCAGTGCTCAAATCTAAAAAAAAACCCTTAAAAATTAAATTACATTACTAAATTTTTTTTAATCAAATAGGTTATCTAATTCAGTTTTGACTGGTTTAACAAACTTTTTACTATGGCAGAAAAAATGTTGCTTAAATGAGAAAATAAAATTATATTTTCTTTTTTTCCCTTCCTTCTTTTGCAACTCTTTTAAAAAAAATCAAATTTGCTAAACAAGGTAAAAATTAAGCCATTAAAATGCAAATCTAATATATAAATTACACACATCTATCATTATGTTGATTGCCTGGATAACATTCCCTCTCTTGCTACCCTCTCTCTGATCAGTTAGATCTCTAGGGAATGAGGACTACTGTTAGGCGGATGGTCCGAACATGACACCCTGTGTCGGGCTGTTCTATCTTATTCAAAGGAGTGTTCTGTTTTGAAAATAACAGCAATTAGTTGGTTTATCCACGTAAGTATTCACAAAATAGACTTGGTGGATAATCAGCATAAATTACCTGAAATTATGATTATACTCAATCTCTGTGTCGCCCATCTTAATAACATCTTGTCCTCCTTGTTTGATAAGCTGTTTGTTTAAAATGGGTGCCAAGGCTGGATCCAAACTCTCACCAATCTCCTTTATCATGAAAAAAAAATTTATCTTAATTGCAGTATAATGTAAACATTAAGAAAGTCTCAGAAACAAGTGATATATTTATTGTAAATCTTAAAGCATATGTAAATTAATTTGTATTCTGGATTCTGTTTTGTTGTTCTGGAAAAATGCTTCATTGATTCTTTATTGATTAATTAACTGTCAATCGAGACAAGTCAGATGAGATGTTCTTCTGGTCATCTTGCATACTAATTAGTAAGAAATATGATGTGTACGGATTGAGGTGCAGTGAAATGGGCGATTCCATTATTGTTGACAGGTAAGTTCCTCATAGGAATATTTGATATTTATCTGTGTAACCAGGTATTCACAAAATAGTTGCCATACACCAGATTAATTTCTTTTAAAGAAAATTTCTTAAACTTACTTCAAGCAATACAGGTTCTCCAATCTGCACTGCTCGTTCAATGACCCTCATGTAGTTGGGGTCAGTCATTTGAACTTTCCTCAGTCGACCTCCTTCCATCTCAGCTATCCACCTGAAATTAGTTTACAAGAAACTTGAAAAGGCCACCAATTTTAGAAATGGTTTAGCATATATTTTTGAGAAGTTCTGTCAATTAAAAATTAATAATTAAGTACTTCACATCATTATAAGATAATCATACACAATTATGAAAACAATCAATGAAGTTTTAAACTGTTTGGTTTACTGTGTTTCATGCTTGAATAATATGTTTGATGTCTATTAAATTAAGAAAATAGAAATATTATTTGTCATACTGACCGTGCTCCCTGCCCTTGAGGATCAATGAGAAGTGGCCAACGATGACCAAACTTAACGAAAATAGCATTTTCTTCCGAGTACTTGTCTCTTGGTAGGCCCTCATTATGCCACTGTTGAACCTGGTAAATTAAAAAAATAATAAAAAAAGAGTGGGGTGAGTCAGCTTTTGAGAGTGTAGAGTTGGCTTTTAATATTTTAACATGGTATACATTAACAATTTTTGTCATATGTTTTGCTAAAAAAACACATACATTATAAAAATATATTTTATTCATTTATTTATTTATTTACAAACATATTTTACATGGAACATTTTCATAAAAATTATGTTCTAACAAATGGTCCATTAAATAAATATGAATCTAATAATTATAAATAATAAAAAGAAATATTTGATGAACAAAAGAGTATTTATGTCTGTGTCTAGGTCTAAAAGTATCAATCATAAATCAATTTTTTATTTTTCACTCATACCCTACAATCTATTCTTTGAGTTATTATTAAAACAATATATTACAACAGCAACAATAAGATTTATAAAAATATCATAAATCCTTACCACATTTGCTTCTGTCAATGTTTCAATCAATGAGAACTTTTGGGATATTGGTATATCGCCTTTCTTGCACAGTTCATACCAGTAGTTACCCATTTCTCGTCTATAGGGGGCAGTAAACACACCAAGGTAGATGATGGATGCTGTTGAAACAAGCGTATCGCCAACAATACCTTCCAATCGGAAGTTCAGATCGTCCATAGATTCTGCCCATCGAATCTAATTTTAAAGGAAAACAATTACTTTAGTATCTCGTTCTCTTCTATGGCAAATAAATAATATAAAAATGATTGATTGCCTATAAATATATAATTATATTTAAACTCTTACCTTCTCATCTGCTAGAGCAGTGAGTAAGACAGATGCCCTCTGCAGTCTGAGCGTTGTTAGTACTTTGCGTTCTTGTAGCATTTCCCTTTGATTGACACTGTCGTCATATTGTTTCTGTAGCTCACTTAGGTGCATTTCAATCTAAACAAATTTAAAGTTAAAGATATTAATAATGTAACATAGAAACTATATCAGAGAATATTAGTCAATAGTTTATGTATATATATGTACGTAAGATCTTTGGAGTGACTAACCATAGCTAGGCTGTCTTGTTTCTCTTTTAGGCTCTCTTGGGCAAGGCTAAGTGCTTCCTTGGCTTCCTCCACTCGACGCTGTTTTGGCTTCACCATCTACGATGAAGTAAAAATATGTTATATTATAATAAGTGGTTTTGGCGCAGCAGGAATTGTTTGGTTTCTGAACCTCGAGGTGGGGGAGGGGGGTTTACTCGCTGTGCATTTCGCTTGTGTCCTTGAGCAAGGCACTTTATCTGCTTTGCTCCTCTCCACCCAGGAGTATAAATGGGTTCCGGAGGAGGTTCAGGTGCAAAATGCACTGATATATTTCATGTGGCAAACTATGGAATTTCCCCCATAGGCACGTTCTAATAACTGGGTTAATAAAATGGAAAAAACGCTCTGAGACCTATCTGTAAAGCACTATATAAAAACATACATAATATTATTAAATTATATAATGATGATACAGTAATAACAATAATGATGTTGATATTGGATATTTTATTGGATTTTTTCCCTAAAAACATGTAGTACAATATACAACAATGGTACATTTTAATACAACAAACTAAATGAGGGGGCAAGAACACAAAAAGCAAACTTAATCACTAAACTAAAAGTGATGGAGTCATATATTGTGATAATGATATATGGTTGATGAAGAGAAGGAAATGAATATGGTTTGATACAATACAATGTTCATACCTTACAAACATCAAGATAGTGTTGAAGGGCCAACACCCACTGGCAAATGGATTTACAGGCATGAGACACTTGGCCTACTTTCTCAGGTTCAAAATTTGGCATCGATGTGAACTTTTTTAGTCTGGCAAATATCTATACAAAAAAGATTAGTTGTCAATTTTTGTTAAAAATAAAAAGTAATTTAAGAAATTAATCAAACCGCTAAAAAAATGACTTACTTTGTCGGTGACCATACTCTTGTCATAATTAACAAGTTTTTTGAGGAAACCTTGATCTGCTAGAAGATGTTTTGCTGTGCTCCACTCTGGTTTATGTTTCATCAGAACGCAGACGGCACCCATTACATGCATGACAAGATCTGGGGGATTGGTGTACACACGGATCTCAGAGATATCTGACTTGTCCAAGGCATCCAGGGCTGCTACAGCCTCTTGGAGGGCTGGAATGACTGATTCCAAGTCCCTTTGTGCTTGCTGGGAAAAGGATAGGATATAACAAATGTGATGAAGATTTGGCTATAGTAACAGTAATTTATTACAAGAATTGTTGGATGAATCCATAACTCAGACTTATTTTATTAACTTACATCTGCATAATCTTGAACCATTTGTGTTTCTTGCTTCATCACCGTCTCCTCTTTGACAACAATTTCTCTTACTTGATCTACTGCTGCCTGGTCAACTTTTAGCTGCTCTAATAAGATCTCTGTATCCTATCAAAATTATGGAAAAATTCAGATGAAATAATTAGCATTGTGACCAAAATTGCTTGTCTTCGTAAATATAGACAAATTGTTAAAAGGGATATTTTATACCTGATGCATACAAGATAAAATGTTACAAAAGGTTGTGTACTATGGATAATTTAGCAAATCCCGCTACATCAGAAAATGAGCATTTATGTAAAATTAGCATGTTCCTGTGTGTATACCAATGTAAGAACTGACTTTGCAAAACACTCCAAAGATACTTAACATAGCACCATATAAATATCACCATCATCACAGCCATATAAATATCACCATCATCACAGCCATATAAATATCACCATCATCACCCCCATTTAAATATCACCATCATCACAGCCATATAAATATCACCATCATCACCACCATATACTGTAAATATCACCATCATCACAGCCATATAAATATCACCATCATTACAGCCATATAAATATCACCAACATCACAGCCACATAAATATCACCATCATCCCCACCATTTTAAATAGCCATCACAATATCATCACCATCATCACTGCTGCCACCACAACCACCCACATTACTATCATCATTGTCACCATCATCGTAATCATCACATCGCATTATCATCCCCCACCCCCCACCATCGTCATCTTTAGTGACTTACTTATTATCCAGAAACTTCTGTTTGGTTTCTTTCAGTGTCTTTGTGTACAGTTGTATAAGATCCAAGTAACTACTAGGTGTCGTGTAGAAATGACGGTTCAATTCCAGCTTAAACTGGTTGGCTTTTGTCTCCACATTATTATGAATATCAACACATGCTTTAGCTATGCTATCCTTCAAAAGCTGAAAAAAAAGAAATGTTTTTAATAACAATAATAATGATAATAATAATAATAATAATAATAATCTAAAGCCTGGCACACCTTGTATTAACCTTAAATTCCGTAAAGCTCACAAAATGACAAGGCACATGCAACAATCATCATTTGGCATCGCATCACAAAAAGCAAACCTTTATAAGACACAGTGTGTGCCCAGCTTACTACACACTACAAGTATATAAAGAAGTTGAAGAATATGCACTTACAGGTATGTCTTGTAGCCCGTTGATGCCGTCAAACTGAATATGACCAAGATACACTTGAGCGACTTTCAACATGGCTTCCTCTCCCCACTTATCAAACCAATCCAACGTACAGCAATTGATCAGAGAAGGGTACATTCTGCACCTCTGGCGGAACGTATTGCCGGCTGGACTAGTTGCTATTACCACATGTAGGTTACGCCTCACACGCTAAAAAAAAAACAATTGTACCAAGAGTTAACATAAAGCATAATAATTAAAAATAATCTTTACAATATAATAATATTCTGAAAATTCCTAAGTTGTAAAGTTAGACAGCTGAAACCAAAGGAATATTGTTATTCTTGAGTTTTGCCTTTGTTTGTGTGACTGGGCTACATTTAATCATATAAGCCTAATACAACATCAGGCCTGCTCCCAGAGAGAAAAAGAAGATTAAAATGTCTCACTCCCTATTAAAGAAACCAAGTATTTGCCACTAAACAGACCACAATAGAAGCTACAATATCAAAGTATGTCTGGAGAAGCTTTGGTTTAAAGAAACATAAATCACATTATGTGCAGACTACCTGGATAAAGTACTGATACATTGCATCTCTGGTGTCAGGAATCTCAGCTTCTGCTGCGACCCTCTTCAGTTCCATTGAAATAGATTCCATATCATCATTATCAAAGAGATCCGGAACCTCACCAGAGTTCAGGATGCAACTGATATCCTCTAAGAAGGTTTCCTGTTAAAGAGACAGACATTCATTATTTGTCCTTCGGTCATGCTGGATACAAGCAAACACTGAAAATGTTAGATGCACAATCCTCAAAGCTGACAAATAAATATGAAGACAAAGAGAGAAATAGAATAAATTGTGCCAAAACATATTTAAAAGGGATATCTACATAAAAAAAAATTTAACAAAACTGTAAGAAAAAAAAAAGAATTTTTTCTGCATTTCCAGGTATATTAATTCATTTGAAATTAATTCATTTGAAATACCAACCATAACTATATCACTATCAGTCATGAGGAATACAGTGTTCAAACCCTGTAGGCCTGCCTTCCAGAATCCTTTCTTCAAGTCTTCCTTATAATCGCTGATGTTGTAAGTTCGTGTGAGATTCAGGCGGAAGAGCTCACAGCCTGAGATGAGGCAGGCTAGCTGGACAGTTGTGGACTTCCCTGTGCCATCCATCCCAACAAGAAGCATGTGACCTCCAGGTTGTCGGAACACTCTGGCTGCTCTTACTATGTGCTCAACTGCTTCCTTGAAAAAGACAATCTGAGTGCCCTGGAAATGTTCATGATAAGAAAATTAATGCTAATACTGTGAAGGGTTGGTAAGTGGAAAGCTCAGCATTTACATTTTGATCTCTCAAACTTTAGGTTGAAGGTTTGAATCTCTTACTATGTATTTTGTTTTTTGTTATTATGCAAAGCACTTTTACTATGGTTGTCATGCTCTACCAATGTGTAATATTAGGTAGCAGGAAGGTTTGAAGTGCTGATTGCTAAGCAGCAATATTTAGCAATATTATGGAATTATCACCCAGGGAGCTGAGTATGAGTTCCATAGGTGTTTGATCCAATGGCAGTTGAGGTTCCGCTTCTCAACCCTGAGATCAAAGGTTCGATCCCTCGCTGTGTATTTCGCTTGTGTCCTTAGGAAAGGCACTTTACCTACAGTTGTTTCTCTGATAATGATATTGATATATATTTCTCTCCACCCAGGAGTACATGTGAGTACCTGGTAGGTTCAAACACAAACATGCATTGATTACAAGCTGTAACATATGGAATTCTCCCCAGGGAGCTGAATATGTGTTCCATTATGTGCTTGATCCAATAACCAGAGGTAATAATGTTAAGCGCACAGAAGTCTTTACAATATGAGCTATATAAGTCGCCCATTAATAATGTGATGCGCAGAGATGTCTCCTTGACATAGTGATATTCTGCGTACCAATTAGTAGCTGAGTATGAACTCATGGCCCTTGTTTATAAAGAACTAGAATGAGTGATGATGTTGAAGACAATGTTAATGATGATGATGATAATTGTTCTTTAAAAATAAATTCACTAATTGTCTTTTACCTGGGAAGTGCCAAAGTTCATTCGTACTAAGTAATCTTCAAGGACTTGCACGGTGCGACTTGGATCAGGCATGGCACGATAAATACGCTCAGCTGAGGGTGCATTCACGTCCATAAAGTCTCCAAACATTAAGGGTTTGGCAAAGAGCTGTTCAGCTGACCACTTAAGCTGGTGAAAAAAATGATTTAATGATATAATTTCTTGAATATTATATTTCATTATCAAATTTGGAGCAGCTGATACTTGACTACTAATACTTGACCTTACTTTAAAGTGGTTGTGAAGGTCATCTTCTAAAAAGCTGAAGAACATCATACGGTCATCAACATCCATCAATCTGTCATGAAATACCCTGGTAGCCTCATGGGCAAGTAACTGACCAGCTGACTCCATAGATGTGACCACTGTCTTGTCTGCCTGTAGCAAGCCTTGAATGACCTAGAAAGTAAAAATAATTTTAGTTCATTTAATATCGAAGTTCAACAATAGCCATGTTGTTGTGAAAATTGCTACAAGTGATAAGCATTATAAATTGTGACTCTTCAATAAGGTTAAATAATAAAGTAATATAATATGTATATAAAAACAAAAAAAAACAAATAACATTTATAATGCATTGAAAATGTAACAGCCTGTGTTCCTTGTCTTGTCAGAAGCTGAGATATAGTGTGTTGTCATACAAGACTTTTTTGTGTATGAATAAAATATTGTAACAATTTTGGATTACTACCTAAATAACCAGGTCAGGTCAAGTACTTCTGAAATCGACTTATAGATCTGTAACCAAAAAAATATTAGAGAGCTACTGCACCTTGGATAGGTCTCTCAAGTTGAATGTGTAGTGGGTTTTAGCAGGAGTTGGTAGTAAATTCAAACACATCTTATAGTAGATAGCTATGGAAGCAGACACCATTGGGTTCAGTAACTCCTTCACCTCTGGCAGGAAATCCTGGTTTTCAACAAACCTACCAAGTTGAACTTGATAGATGTGCTGGAGAGACTTAATGGATGGTTGTGGTAGGCTAAGCAGGCTGAAGTACTTTAGCAGTCGTGGGCTGATCGTTTGTCGGCCACCTCCAGGCGGTGCACAAGCACCAATTAGCGTTACATCAAGTATATCCTACAAGAAAATCAAATAGTAAAAAAACTTGTTAGCAGTATTTGTGGTTGGTGGGCTTCAAATACTGTGGTCATTTCAATGAATCTCTGCAATTTCATGTGTTACCTTATAAGCAATTCACTCTCTAAAGCCATCACACACTATGCCAACATTCGCAGCCAATGTAATTGCTTTAGACCGCAGGACGACAATGTGTCGTGCGACAGATCGTTTTCAATAACAATTGCTTTACTGCCATCAATTGACAGTGAATAAGTCTTCCGAAAATGTTTGGCATGTTTATGTCTTTTAATAAGACATTTACTTTTGTTCAAAGCACCAAAAAACCTTTATCTTACCTTCCAAAGAAGTTTCTTTGTATCGTAGAATCCACCAAATTCCAAGAATTGACGAATAAGCTCCAGAGGTGGTTGAGCGCCAAACTCTTCTGGTGCTGGCAGATTAAGGTCATCCACAAACACTATTAACTGCAAACACAACAGCATATATTAATGGGTGAAAATATTAGGTTATTAAAGGAGATGGTGATTACTATATTGTACAATGTTACTTGCATTAATATCATGCTAGGTGTGAAATAGCGGTTAATTGAATTGATTTTAAAGCCTTTAGCACCAAACTTTCTAAAAGACGAGAGACAGAGGTCCTCCTGCTTTACCCTTTTTCCTCGTGGGGCAACCATCATATTCTTGCCCTTTTTGATCAGTTTATGTTGTATCTGGGCCTGGATTCGATCAGCTTTGGTCTGGGCACTTAGCTGCAGAGTGGTGGATACAATTGCTTCAGCCATCTCACGACTTGGCCCTCCTACTCCCATTTCCAACATTGACTTTAACTGCACCTCACCTAAAATGATTATAATGAATATAAACTTGGCGATTATGAGTTTATCCAGGTGGTTACAAAGTAGATTTACAAATTTATTTAAAATTATATAATCTGCTCTTCATATAACAGAATAAGAATAATTTAAGCAAAACAATAAAGATTTAAGAGATTTTTTTGTTTTACTTTTGAATTGTAAATTTATACAGGATTGTAAATTTTATGCAATGCAGGTATTTAAATTATGTTAAAATGAATGATGTATATTATTTTTTTTCTATTCTGGACATTCATATTTTTTCTTTGGAAAAAATATTATAATTTATTGTTTGTGTCTATATAGAAATTTGCAAATAAAAAACATTCATGTTTATATAAATAAACAATAAATAATTACAACTATTCTCAAGATTTCTACATAGTTAAGAAGCAACAAAACCATAATAACATAATCAAAGATCACAAGGCAGAAATATCTACAAACTAAAAGCAAGATAAACAGAGATATAATGTGGTAGTAGTAGTTTTACCCAGCATTCATTAGTCTCTCATCTGCTTTTGGAAAAATGAAATACAAAATTCAATTATGAAAACGACAGTAAAAAATATATATGATTTTTACCAATCTTTACAATGTACTGTTCTTTAAAGACAGTGGCAGATTCAGACTTTTTGTCGAGGTGGCAGGAGTGGCAATTTGAGTACTTTGGTCTGAAGGGGCAGAAAATAGGAATGTTATGGAGTGCTCCCTTACCAATTGTGAAGGTCCAGAGGGCTTCCTCAGGAAGTTTCACAGTTTAGCCATTGTATTATCATATCTATATGACTTCACACTTGGTAAATAATTCTTTGGCTACTGCCGGGGGAGAAGGGAGGAGCGTGCACCTCCAGTGCAACCCCAGGATCCGACACTGAAAGAAGTCTGATCTGAATGCTGATGGTATTACCTGTTTGAAAGTCATCATCTCCAAGGAAGCCAGAGGTAAGTGAAGCGATGTTGGACAGAACACTGGTGCCTCGCTCCGAGTACTGCAGAACCTCACCAAGGATTGTCCCGTGCTCAGTGGACGCACCACGTGATCTGGCCAAACGCTTCAATACATGGGTCACTACTGCTGATTTACCAACACCAGAATCACCTTATATGGAGAAATGAGACAAAACAAATGTAAGTTCCTTGTTTAAAGTGTTGCTTGTACATTTAAAAAAATGTCCATTAGTGGTATCCAACATCCGACACAATTTCATGTACGGTAAAGGGAAAATGAGGCCTATATACATAATGCTTATAGTATTTGTTAAATATGTCACCTGGATTCGACTATTCCATTATTTTTTTTAATAAGTTCCAAAAAGTAAACTGGTTTATATTGCTTACTTCAGGAAATTATTCAAGGTAGTTTCTCGAAATACATGGTAGTTATATTTTCTTTACAATTTCTCAAAAGTTTCCCATTTTGTAGATAACCTACCTGTTATCAAGACAGGATGTTTGTTGAGCAACAAAAGACTAGTGAGAAATGAGTAACGTATTGTGTCCACAGTCGTCACCAGCTCCCCCTCCTCCAATTGCACCTTCTGGCTTACTTGGGCAGGTAAGCCCATTTGTTCCCCGAGAGATACATGTGCCACACCCTTGTCAATCAGCGACTTAGTGCTGGGCACTAGGACATCCCAGCTTACAAATTTACCATTCTCCATGTTGACAAAATAATTGAAGATGGTCCTGCTACCCGAGGGAAGGCGAACACCTGGGAAAGAAATTGATGACATGGATGCATATTGTTATACAGGCAACAAATTGGCATACAGGTAAATATTGGTAAACTGGGAGATCAAAAATAGGACAGCAAATATATGGCATGTTTCGGAGCAGAAAAATAGTGATAATTTAAAATGGATTTGCTAGCATTGGCTAAAATAAATAACTAATTCAAATTATTCACACTACATGAAAAAGATTGAGTAGGCCTACTATAAAGGTGCTGTACAGCAAAATAATAAATTGGTGTATCCTGATAATCATTCACAAAACAGCCTTGACAAATTTACACAATAATTTTCTACTATATGGGAATATTTAAGCAGTTTAAAGAGAACATCACCACAGCAACTGGAACCACATTGCATCCTACCCTTGGATGGAGGACAGAACACGATGGATAGATGGTCACATTTATTACTATCTATTATTCATTGGTAATATTCTACATCACTTCAAGCAACTCACCCAGTGGGGGCTCAATATCAAACGTATCTCTCACAAGACCATCAAAGTCATAAGCAATGTTACTCTCAACCGTCACCTTACGGTTAGATGTTTTGCTACCAAGGTTGATTCCTCCATCATCATCCGCATCATCGACACGTTTCAGGTTGCCACCGACAGACCAGGTAAAACAGAACACAAACAGTTTGCCGAGCAATGTAGGTAACTGATCCGGGCTTTTGTTCATGTACCATTCTTTTCTAATTTTATTTTGATAAACAAAAAATTGAAATCAATCAACACTGGCAGAGAGTAGTGAAGATGATTCAAAGAGCAGACTACTAAAAGGAGATAACAGATGCTTCATTCCTTTGTGAGTCTTAAGTGCAACCAATTATGAACACCATATTTGGCAAGCTGGTTTGCTTTTACTCATTTATTTCATATTTTTTTTTATGATTAAGGTTTGGTCGCTATAGCCATTTTGTCTACAGTAAACTTTATGCACCATCAGCCTATTTGATGATTACTTGAGCATTGTCAATGTATACTATTATTATTATTATTATTATTATTATTATTATTATTATTATATTGTTACACTGACAAAATACACCAATAAATAGTGCTTCCTAAAGTTAAAATATATTAGAAAAAAGGGTGATTAGAATGAATTGAGCCCAGAGAACTAGGGATGTAATTAGGACACCTAAACCACTTTTCCACTATGCACTTTTATATTAAACACAGTGTTATCAGGCTAGTATTGAACTATCTTACCCAGATTTGATTGACCCAGCATCAGAGTCATGTGAACTACTAGTAAGCTTACTTCCTGTCTTTCTAAAACCAAGTCTGGATGAATGGCCTGACTGTTGTCTGCTATCACCAGATCTCTCAGTAGCGTCTAAATAGTCAAACAGGTAATGAAATATTCTAATATTGTGTATATTCTACTTGTTTAGTAGTTGTTTTATATCATAAAGTGTATGCCTTTACACCATTGGAAATCAAATTTTCCTCATGTTGTATTTTAATGTATTTATAATCTTTTATTAAATAACTTTGTATTTTGAATGACAAATCAATCAATCAATGGAATTTGACATCAAATTATTATTGTATTCGTTCACAATCAACTTACCAAACTATTTTCTTACCTCTCTTACCGTATCCACCATTTTTCCCCATAAAATTAACGAAAGCAGATAGCAAGTGGCATAGCATAGAGATGATGTTCATGTCCGTAGCAGGTACATGTTGCTGTTTGGCATGTGCATGTACAAAGTCTAGTCCTCGATCAACGCTTCTTTCAAACAGGGCATGTAGATGCTTCTTACCACTCTCAGGAAACTGAAGATCACAAAGAGAAATATTGTTTTACTTACTATTTATGTTTTTAAATTCTCTTCCTAAAAATTACTGTACATCTCAACAATAAATACTTAAACTACATAAATGAGTGGAAAAAATAACTTACTTCTTTTGGTAGCTTAGAAATCCATGTTTTTACATATGGCTTCCATCCCAAGTCAACTGGGTCCTGCATGAAAAATATACCACTTATAGTATGAAACACAAAAATACTGTATACAGAAATAGGTAGCATGATGATGGTTATTATTATTATTATTAAGATGATGAACAATGTTTTTATTGAATGATGCTCATAGTAGTGATGATGGTCATACTAAATCCTTTGCGAGCCACTGGGGCTCATAGGGCTGGAGCTTATCCCCAGTTTCTGTAGTGTGAAGCGGATGAGAGTTGTACTCCCCTGGACGGGACACTGTCCATCGCAGGTTAGTCCCCAGCAGATTGCTGGTACCCATTAATACAGCTGTGTGGACTGAAGCAATGTAGCTAAAGTGCCTTGCCCAAGGACACTAGCGAATCTGCACAGCGGAGACTCGAAACCCCGACCTTACAATTGAAAGATTGAAAGATGATGGTCATAAGATGATCATAAAGACAATGATGATGATGATGATAATAATGTGGCACAACGTCCTCGGCAACTAGGATGATGATGATGACAATAATGTTTTGGTGGTGTTAGATGATGATGATAATGATGATTATACACATAATGTGAAAACAATATTGATACTGAATGAATAGTAATTATGATAATAATTATCATAATGATGATGACATCATAATTATTATAATTAACTATCATTACAGAATCATGACAATGATAATACTGAAGCCATAATTATAAAAAAAATGACTATTAATTATGATGATTATCCTATATCTTCCCACAGTAGATAAGTACTTACAATGTATATCATAGCGCATCTACTAATAGTAGCTGGGCTAGCCTGGGATAAGTTATCCACCTCAAATAGAAGCCTCATTCCCCTGGCCATACTGATTCTCTCTCCACTGGCTAGACACAGCAGTTTACTATCATCCAGCACCGTGTTTAAGTTCTCAATCCACAGAGTGTCAACAGGACCATCCAGGACCAACCAATGCCAATCATTTGGGGTCTCGTCACTCATGTCATTCTCTCTCTCGCTGGTTTTAACAGTCTCCTGATCAACGTCCATAGTTGTAGTGGAGCTAGCGCTGGTATGACGACTTTGGGCATAACTACTTGTACTATCCTGCATAAAAAAAATGCCCTTCCTTCATTTATGAATGATAATTACTTTAGTTACTTTCACTAGAATAGAACAGGAGGCTGGTTACTCAAATTTGGTGTGTTATATACACCTGAGTTAGACAATTCCATTATTTTTTGCGGGTAAGGACCTTTATGCTTATATTGGTTTATCCATGTTAAGTATTCACGAAATAACCCTGATGAATAGTATCCGGCTGCACTCATTCACATGCAACCTTTACCAGCTTTTACTATATTTCTTTTTAAGAACATGGTATATCACAAATTGATTTCAGTCATTTTATAAGTAAACTCCTATTTTAATACAGCCCTCTAGAGAAAATGTGTAGCATATTTTCTTACCTTTCTGCCTCTTGTTACTGATGTTAAGTTAGAAGCTGTGGTAGACGGTCTGTCACTCTCATCCACACCTGCAAGTGCCATTTCCATTGCTTCCTTAGAAAAGTGGCGCATAACTGAAGGTAACAGACCATCACTCCATTCAAGTGTGTTAGGGTTCGTCTCTCCGTACAACTCACCCATGTTGACACATTTTGGGTTTATAACTGATGTCTCTACACGTCCCTTCTTACCATATGTTTTCTTACAAATATAATCACAAAAAATTTCAATCAATCATATCCATAAATTATGATAATATATAAAATTTAAGCTGATAAAAATATTACAATTCAAGAAAACTTATGGTTTATCCAGATAAGTATTCACGAAAAGACAGTATGATGTTAAAATCTCTTTAGTTTTACACTTACAAAGAAAAATAATTGGGATGACAAGCTGGTACTTAAAAATTAAATATGGCGCAATGGAACAGACAATCTAATTAATAATAATAATAATTTGCGATAACAATTACTTTCAAAGTGTGTAAGGGAATTAAGTATACAGGTTGGCAAATTATGTCAGAAGTAAAAATATATAGTAATAAACAAAATTTATTTGATAAACAAACAGTAAAACTTACAATGTACCGATTACCATGTTCATCTTTAAGGGTATGTAAGGTTGGTAGAAGAACCAATGCCCTATGCAGGATATTCCGTACCATGGTCTTACCCCCTCCGCTTGGCCCTACTAGCATGACACCATGCCGTACTTGTAACTGACTGAATAGCTGCTGGACTTTGGTCAACTGGGCTGGCCAAGGCTGGACATTCAAATCATGGACAGCCATAGATATTGCTTTCTATATATTATAATATGCAAAGTAAAATCAAAGAACAATTTTAGGATGTTAAAATATGATAAAGTACAAAATATTTTTTCAAAGCTAATAGTAAAATCTTATCAGGATCGATAAGTTAAGCACTGTATTAAATTAGGCCTTCATTATAAAAAATAAAAATGAAATTTAAAAAATAATTAAACATTAAAATCTTTTAACAATACACCACCAACAAATTGAATGACCCTTCACCTCTAGGTTGCCATATTCTGGAGATGGTGGATTTATTCCTGGGAAAAGGTCTGCCAGAATGTTCTCAAAGAGCGGCACATCTTCTGCAATAAACTTTGGTAAATTTGCATCACGCAACGAATGAATTAACAGATGAGATTCCTCTTCTTCATTCAGCACTCTTCCTTTCCTTTTAAAGAATAAAAGATACAATATAAATCATGTTTTTTAAATGATTAAACATTATTAAAATACATTATTTCTGTACTTAACCCATAAACTTAGAATTATTCAAATGAGTATGATACTGCGCTTACTGTCCTTGGAAACCACGCTTTCTCTGACCTGCCATGACTAGAACAGACTTTATGGCACGCATTCCAAAATCATAATGGTCCTGTAAATATAATATAAATTAAAATAAATCATTAATATACATATGTAATCATTAACAAATATTATCATCAACATAATCAAATCATCTTCATCTTCAGAGATATTATAAAATTTCTGTTGTTATCATCAACCTCACTATCATTCATTCATCCACATTATTTTCCATCATTAAGAACAAAAACATAAAAGTGACTACACACAGATTACAATATTTATAACTATCATCTTTAGTTGTCATCACCCCACCACCATCATTAATGACCTTTAACTGACCTGTTGTGATAACTGTTTACTTGCTAGTTGATAGAGGTTGACAATCTTACTGGAGAGTGATTTAGCAGTAGTGAACCCTCCAGCAAAGAGTAGGATCTCAGCAATCAAAGTGTAGTCAGGCACCATCATGGAAACTTGCCGGAACAAGGACTTGAGATTGTCTGGCAACTCCACACGCCCTGCATATCTATCAAAAAATTAATTAAAATATGCAAATGAGTTAAACACACTACTAGAATTTCAGAAAAGAGTGTGCTACGGGTATAAATTTAACTGGGGTATGTAGAACCACCATTTTGAGTTCAACTTACCCAGGATTCATTGTGATAAAGACTCCACATGAATGATTCAGTCTTGTATCTCGTCCTTCAAACATAAACCTGCAAATCACAAACAAAATACCATGTAGTTAAATATTTTCATTCCTTTTACAGTTTTTGAAGCACATACCACCTCTCTCACTATCAAAATTGCGGCCTTCATTTTTCTTAGTATTTTAAGCACCACCTCCCTTACTATTGACACTGTGGCCTTAATCATTCATGACATCGTACCTGAGAGCAGAGGCATCCTTTGCAGTCTTAATGCTGTGTAGTTGCTGGGCAACCACAGACAACACCTCCACATCAATTCTGTTGAACTCATCAAAGCAACACCAACTCCCAGATTGAGCAAGTCCAGAGAAAAACTTGCCTAGTGTCTGTAATAAAAAAATTGTTTAATGTTATTTCGATGTTGCTTTATACACGTTGTTTTAGAGGATAGTATTTTTGATATGGCTCTCAACGTGGAACTCTCATAACTTGGCTATCTCATGACATGACTCTTACAACATTGGTATCTTTGACATGGCTCTTTCACAAAATGGCTCCCTTATGACTGGATTTCTCATTAGTTTCAAACAATTTTAAGCTGATCTGGGATGTTTCAGCAGATTATGCCATAGCCCAGAAAAAAATCAATCATTTTACAAGGAAAATATTCCCCCATACAAGACACACAAGCCATGGCAGATGAGGAGTTCAAATTTCAAAGTTCAATTTATTTTAATAAAAATGTTTACCTTATAATCCAGACCCTCAGAACAATTGAATACAAGACAATGCTTGCCGATGCCTTTAGCCAAGTCTTTGACGGTCTCTGTCTTGCCGGTACCAGCAGGCCCAGCTGGTGAACCTCCAAGATGTAGATGAAGAGCACCAGTTAATGTCAAATAGCAGCGGTCGGTGAGTGGAGTAATGACAAGTCTCGCGGAACAGCCTAGATACTCGTAGCCATACAAGAAACTAGCGTTAGCTTGACGGACTTGGCAAGAATTGTGCTGTTCGTCCCATTCATAGCGTAGTTGCCTAAAGATAAGAAGATAATACAAATATACGTGAAAAATAACAATATGATAAACCACTAATGGCCAAAAAATGGCTGTGGTGCTTAAATATTTTTTAAATTTTAATATCTAATTTCAAGTTTTTAGATAAATCATTATCATTTACTCTGTAAGAAAATTTTCAATTAATGTTACACCATCATATTCTGTATGAATTCAAAATATTTAAAAGACAAAAATTTAGATAATAAAAATAAATTAAACTACAACCTTTGCCATTCAAAACTATCATCGGTGAAGACTTTATTCTGAATTAAATTCATAAGAATATCTCTGGAATGGACTAAGATGGTGATGAAGGCCTCTACACTCATCCGTTGGTGAGTTGCTAGATTCTCAGTGACTAGGCCTGCAAGGGTGTTCAGATTGTTTATCAGGTCACTGCATGTCTTCTCAAGGGCAGTAGCTGGCTCATTAGAGTTCATGCTGGTTATCACTGATCGATTGAACATTATTTGTGCCTAGGAAGGAAAAGATGAAATAAATCAAAACAATTTAAAAGTATTTTCTTTAAATTATTTTGAGAGTATTATTATTATGGGGACTAATAATTAAATAGAAACCAAGTAGATGAAAATTTTCTTCCTTAAAAAAAATATTTTGGACTACCTGAAAGATTAAGATTCACACAAAATCTTCAAGTTAAGATCGAGTCACAGAACTCTATAAAAGCGGAGGAGGAAGATCACCCTACATAATCATAATTACCCTTCAGTGAAAATATGCAAACAAGTCAGGAAGTCATAAGAAAGTATAATACATACTCCAAGTATTGAAATACACGCCATCGTGTTGGGATTCAATATTTCGACATTAATTATGTCATCATCAGGAAGTCATGTTAATAGTAATGAGAATACACAAAAAATGGTTATTTTTTTTATCCATGGATAATAATAATAATAATAATAATAATAATAATAATAATAATAATAATAATAATAATAAAGATTTATAAAGTGCACATCCCCACCAATGGTGCTCAAGGCACATGAATATACTCTACACAGCTCAAATCTGGACAGTTCCACTATAATATAGGGTGTTCTAGTTAACAGTATGTTAACGATACTGACCACTGTGAGGATGATCTGACCAGGATGGTCAAGGGTCCAATCAGAGAATGCTCCTCCCCACTTATGCATACTCTCCTTCAGATTCCTGTTGGTTAGAAAATTTTTCACATTACATTTGACATGAAAACACTGCAAATATGTTTATAATTATTTCAATAGCATTGTATTAATTAACTACTATAAGCATGCATATTTTGAATAACATTAAAAATAAAATCTATACATGAATAACTATGTATTATACATATGGATCATTAAACTGATTTTACCTTTTCACTGTATCAAACATACCAGACTCAACACTACCTAACCACTGTTCAACAGGTCCACGAGCCCGAACATTCCTAAAGAAAATAGAATGTTAATATCAACACAGATTATGCTCATAACTTTGCTTCCATGCAATTATTTTAGTATTACTATTGAAGCATAAATGAAATTTAAAATTTAAGATTGACAAGATGTTTTAAATTTACTTAGGCATGAGGACAGCTTCTCCCTCCGCTGAGATCATGGTTGCTACTGTAGGGGGTAACTTAGGCTCATAGACAATCTCCAACGATTTTATGTTTCCAAAACATTTCACCAGATGAGGCTGTGAATAAAGTAAAGGGCACTGCATTAGAACCAAAAATTGAATACATATCTTTTTTTTATTTCATAAATTCACTACTATTTTCATCATTCTTGATCTTCCATCCTCTGCTTGTTGTCAGGTTTACATAATTAACTACCACCATGGTCATCTTCCTTGCTCTTCCACCTTATGCTGCCACTCTTATATTTTAAACTTTATAAATCACTAAAATTCTCATATTCCTTGCTCTTCTATCTTCTGCTTGCAACCCTTCTGTGTTAAATTTTACAAATCGCTACCATTTTCATCATTTCATCTTGAATCCACATGTGCTTGGCACCCTTTTATAACCCTGAAAAAATAGTTTCATACCTGTACAGCTTCTGGATTCTTGCTCTGGGCCAGAATATCAAGAAGTTCATCATTACTCAGAAAATAGAATCGTGGGAAGACTAAGCGCTTGGTTTCAAGGTAGTCCTACAAGAACAAAGACAATAATACAGTAGGTTTGTGGGTAAATTTCAAAATGTGGTTTTGAGGTATGTTATTCTTATATAATGATACACTCGCGTATCTTACTTCTAAACATTTCTGTATCTTCTCTAGATTAGAGTTATTGGCTTGCAAGATCTCCAGGACACCAGGAGCAGTGGCAGCCCTGAGGGCATTGGGTCGGTCCTCTGTCCTACGCATTACTTCCTTCCAACTTTTATCGACCTGGATGAACAGTTTAGCTTCACTTGGAAGTTGCCTGAAAAAGATATGAGAATTCACTTAATATTTAAATAGCTTTCTGATTTAAAGACTGGTAAGTTAAAAGCATATGTCATAATAAAATGCTCACTAAAATATTCATCACCATCATCATCATCATCAATTAAATCACCTCTTGGCTAGCCGGGTCGTCAAAGTTCTTCTGATGCCACTTTCACAGTGTCTACAGTATTAATTTTCATATAATACCTACTGTAGGAGGTATAACAAAGAAGATGTTATTAATACTTAATTGGTTACTTTTTACTTCTATAGCACTTATTTCATGCAGTTACAAAGCACTAACAACCCTCCACTGTAATTAATATTTCCATCAAGTACAGCCCACCCCAACCAAAACCAACAGAGTATGTTAGTATTTAAACAACTCAATATTTTTTTACGGCCTAAGTGTTTAACTCTGTATTTCAGGTGCTTAATTTTTCAGCATATACTTACCTCTGGATATCAGGTGTGCTGAATATCTGTTCAAGATATAGCCAGTTTCTCTGGCAAGTCATCCATTCATCCAAAGTCCTTGAAAACACATTCAGTTTCCTATCCCATTCTTCCACCAAAGCCTGAAAACACAAGCCAATCATCCATTGGTTATACATAGACCACTAGTTGTTCTAAATCATGGTTAATCCTTACACTGTTTCAAGTTCTTTGAATTCTTTACTTTACCTTGATAGGCGTAACATATCTGGAGCCTCTGATAGTTGCTACGGTAACTTGACTTTCTTCCAGCTGTATGGTGATATCATCAGCTCCGGAGATAATAACAATATCCCGACCTCCATGAGGAACCAGACGGAAATCAGTTCCTTGCCAAAAATCAATCACCTGGAAAGATGAAATTAATAGATTAATAGCTTTACTATTAAAGCACACTAATCAGAAGTGATGTTTGTGGTCTATGAGTGAGATACTTACCTGGATGAACGGCCACCTGCCTCCTCCTTGCTAAGATCAATTGTGATCTCAGGCAAAGTGAGGCCTCCCCTGGGTCAGAAGATTCCATTATTTTCAAGGTAAGTTATTAAAGGAAAATGCTTGTCCACCTTTGGCGAACACATAAAGGCAAAGTGACCATAGGCTAGAAAATGCAATGTTGACATAAAAAACTACACAACAGAGAAAGTATGAGGCTTTGCTCTCCCAGATAATCTCCTTGTTTCAATATTCAGCAGGTAAGGTCACTATTGCTCACGGTGAAGGGAAATTTAACATTGCCTTGCTTAGATGATTCCATTATTTTTCGTGGGTAAGTTCCATTAGGAATCTGGCTTATATGGGCACATCCACGAAATAGACAACATCATTCACGATTGCGATGGAAATACATTATGCAGGTCTGGCAAAGCAGAGGTTGAGCATCAGTTTAAATATGCTAGTTGCAAAGCTAGGAATTACCTTAGTCAGCATCACTTCCAAAGTTGCTTCATTGCTGGCCTGGGTTGAGATATCATTGATGCGGTCTTTATGCTCAAACACCTGGACAACACAAAAGCAATTAACATTAGACACAGAAATGTGGTTCACAATGTTGTTTTGTCATGTATTGTTGTGCATTTGACCACGGGTTCATCGTGTGATTCGTCACGCGTGCTTTCTCCTAATGATGATTAAAGCAAACTTATCAAAACTTCAAGTCACCAATTTTTTCATGTAAACAAGCCTTTCACGATCATACAAATTTTCATTAACAAAATAAATTATGTTTTTAACTTACTTGTAGTTCAAGTAGCTTTCCAAGAGAAAATTTCTTTTCAATGAGAATATTCCTGCCAATGAGATCTTGGATCTCTTTCCAGTGTCTGGATCTCAGAGCAGGGTTCCTGAGAGATGAGATCACTGGCATTCCCTTCTTAAAGCTCACAACATTTTCCTTAAGAGTGGGGAGCACTTCATTGGCAGGAAGTCCTAAATGATATTTTCAAAGATTTCACAGAAAAAATAATCAATTGTTAAATAATCTATAATCGAAGATACATGGACAAGCACAAAATGATTTAGCAAGCCAGGCATTTCTGGATAATGCTGAACAGTAGCACCAAGAGAAGATACTAGGCAAGGCAAGCCCACATCTGGACAAAGACACGCAACCTTTTTGAGGTCCCTAGACATAGCACCCAACCCCTGTCATTGCACTGCCCCGGGCCCAGATCCGGCGTCAGCTACATTAACTAAGTGCCACATTACTTCAAATCCCACAAAAAAGAGAATGTTTCCCTATAACAGGGCATTAAATAAATGAATCTTGCCTCAAACATCCAAATTGTAAAAGAAGTTAAGATGTTCATGGCAAAATTTAAAGTACCTTTCTCAAGCATAAACACAGTTTGTGTGAACTTGTTAACATTTTTCTGGACACTGTCCACTTTAAGTTGATCAAACTGTGTAGCTGTCCACTCCTCAACGAGACTTTCCCACTCGCTAGATGACTCCCACAGCAGGCTACGGAGTTGGAGATCTCGTTCTAATTCAGACAAGTCAACAAGAACCTGTTGAGCTGTGATACTGGTATCGTGTTTACTATAAAAACTTTCACTGAAATTAATGAAAAATAATGATAGATTTATATACCAGTTATGGTAGTAAAATCAAAGACAGTTTCAAATATGTGATGGTCTAAGTTATTTATTGCATGTACAACATGGTTATGTGCTTGTTTAAATTCCAAAGTACACTCTTCGAAAAATAGCAGGAGATTGTCTCCTGAAAAAATCAGGACCATCAGGAAAGGTGGGGGGGGGGGAGAGGGAGGCTGTTCTATGGCTGGCTTGGGGCACCACATCCCAATAAAATTTGTTTGGAAAGGTGGGGGGGAGAGGGAGGCTGTTCTATGGCTGGCTTGGGGCACCACATCCTAATAAAATTTGTTTAAATAAAAATAAATTAATCCTTCACTTACTCAAAATAACCATGCACCTTTTTCTTGCTTGAGATAGAGCTACCAAAACGATCTTGATAGCTGGCGTAGCTCCTTGCTTTGGTCGTTAGAGCTCCTACTTCATCATTTAAAAGTTTCAATCTCTCAAGAGCAACGATCCCCAGTGTGTCTGAGCTCAGTAGCCCTGGTGCATTGACTCGGTTACGCATCTCAAATGCCTCGGCATGTAGTGTCTGTATGTGTGTCTTCAAGTCATCGCTAAACTTGGAGATGTTCTCATCTTTTCTCGCTTCACATGCTATGATTGTGCTCTGAAATTTCAACAAGATAGATCAAGTTATTTTTATATGGGGATTGCCATTAGTGACCAGCATCAGTGACGAGCAAGATATTCTTGTTCTCCACAGTATAAGCTTTACTTACTATTGCCAAAGAGAAAAGTATTACAGCTTCTCTGTACTGATATATACAATTTTGCCACATTCTTATGCTAACTACTCAGTTTAACAACTAGTGACAGTATGCTGGTTTTAGGATGGCAAGCCTCATACCTACTAATATGAAAGCTATTTATTATTTTAAACAGGTGGATATGCAATTATTAAGCTTAATGTAATTTTAAATGTAAAATAAAATATATAAAATTAGACACATATAGAATATCAGACAATAAATTTGATTATAGACATGTTGGATTTCAAATACATTATTTTTGTTTAATATTTTTGTCATTTGATACTATTCTGTCGCAAATTCTATTAAAAGTTCCAACATAGATTATATAATAAGGATTGTGCCACCAACCTTAAGATGTTGGAAACTTGGCATGAGTGTTTGATAAAGTGCTAGCTCCTCAGGAGCGATATATGCGCCAAAATCATTAGCAATGGTAAACAGCTTGGTGACTACGACATACTCCTGCTCAAGCATGGACAACTCCGCACCAATGCGTCCAAGAAATGACAGATGCTCAACAAACTCTTCTACTGTCTTTGGCATGTGGTCCAATTTCTTTGAAGAACTCTAAAACAAAAAAAAAACAAAAAATCAATAAGAACTTTGCAATTTTTTAAAATTCTATATTACATGAACAGGTCCCCACAAAGTAATCCGAAGGTTTATTAAACTAAGATTTGCCACACCTAGTCACACACCTTAATAATCTGCATCAGATGCTCATTCCTTCTGTTGCAAATAACTGGTAGTTTTTGCTGGACTGCTGTCATCACTTTTGTAGGGTATGGGATGCAAGCTTCCTGGAATCCCAAGCTCTCCACTTGGATCATTCCTTTGCGTTTTAATTTAGTCATGTCTTTCATTAGACGAATCTGAGAGAGTAATGAAATGCAAGTGGGTAAGAAAAACTAAATTCTGCATACCACAAGTGACTAAAAAAGAAGTGGTAGGCCAAAGAGATGTTGGAGGAACCAAAGGTTGGCAGGAATGAAATAAACGAGGTCCAGAACAGATGCAAATGGTGGATGTCCTCGGCCAGAAGTGACATGAAACCCTTGATGACATACAGATCGATTTATTGACGTTAAAGATTGTGTGTTATCATGAGAAAAAATATGAAATTTTTATTCTCTTATGCTTTCATGTTTAAAGTGGAGATAAAATGTTACTAAGATATTCTTTTGCTTTTACTCTTTGATTGGAGAGAGGAACTGCCCCCACAATTTGCATACTATGTACAGTATAATCATCGAATAAAGGGTGCTGTCAATTCTTCCCTTTCACTCAATGAATAAAGAGGGGAAGTGCTCCTGCCTCTCCCGATTTCACTTAACAAATTAGGAGGGGTACTGCTACTTCACAAATTAAAAATCAACATTACACAATAATGCTTACCATCTCAGAATGCGACCCAAGTATACGATGGAATTCCTCAGTTGACCATTCTTTCCGCTTCATTGATTTCTCAACTTCTATTTGCTGTGACCTTTCAACCATAGCACAATAATCTTGAAATTCCTGAAAATCAATATTTGAGAGAATGATAAAAAAGTGAACACAGTAAGTTGGTTTCTAGTTCATATCTCTATCTACTGTCTACGTGTTTATTTTGTAACAAAATACAAAGTAACATTCAACCTCAGCATATTCCTGTACAACATCAAGGTTCTCCGACACAAGGTCAATCGTGTTGGCCACAATAGTTTGGTATTCAGGATCTTCTCCAAAAAGCAGTTCTAGGTCAGGCCAGGGTCGGCTCTGTTCCCTCTGAGCTTCCTCTTCCTCCCTATCTACTGAGAGCTTAAGGTCGTAGCATGGAGGCAACCAGAATACTGCTAAATGAGGTTCACGCTGTAGGGCTTGCACCTGGCCTAAAATTAAGTTGACAAAACCAATGACAGACATGTGCTACCTAAATGCCAGCAGGCACAAAAGCAGTAGGCACTACAGAAAGGCAAATTAGCAAAAAATAGGTAGCATTTTGGTTGTAGGAGTCTTCTTAAATGAAGAGTGGCAATTAGTCGGTTTATCCAGGTAAGTACTCACAAATAGATTGGAAATTTTAGGGACGCTAGCTAATGAAATGAGGTGATATTACTTGAGTAATTTGTTTGCTCATAGTGGCGGTGGGTGGTGAGAATATTTTTCTGAAAGAATGTTTGCCCCGACATGCCCAATACAATACTGGGCAGGGAGATGGGCATACAAGTAACAAGTATACTGACAGACAAGGAAAAATATATGTTAGAAGACCAAAGAACTTACCCACAGTATGTTCAAAACCAGCAATAATGCCCTGAACTTTGGAGACAAACATGGACTGAGATGGTTGCAATGTAATGTTAACCTTTGGCTTTTCTGCATCTATCACATCTGCCACTTCATTTCTATGACTAAAAAAAACAACTGTTTACTGATATACTATCTAGCATCATAAAAACAGCTTGTTTAAAATGATCAAAGAAATTAAACTTTCATTGATACACAAAAACATAATGATTTACAGATAAATTACTAAAAAATACTTAAACCAGGCAATATGGATGGATGGATGCATATCCATCAGTGTAAACACTAAGGATTACCCAAAAAAAATCTAAAGCCGACTAAGTTCCAGTGGGGTATTCTAGTGGTGGCGGTACACAAAGGAGACAGACAATCCCCTATTACTATTTAAATAGCGTTCAGCGTTCATTAACATGCACATGGGCCTTAATACATATGGGACCAATGGCTTAAATGTCTCATCTGAAAGATGACTTGCATTTCAGCCCTTTACCTGAAACACAAGGTCAGCAGCAATGGGAATTTAACTGGAGACCTAGAGATCTCTACGGTTCAACACACACAGTGGCTACCACCAGTTTAACTGACTGAGCTAAGGTGCTCTATGAAGGTCTATCCAAAAAAAAGGAAAATATTTTTAATGCATCTGTAATTTGGCAAGGAAAGTTTCTTCCTCATTCTTATTTCAATTAAAATCATATTAATTTACTTAACTATATAAAGCAAGCAATAACAATTTGGAAATTCATTTTTTCAACCATTGAATTACCTTTCTGGATAAGCATACGTGTCATTTCCATCTTCATCTTCATTTTCATCTTCATCGTCTGAATTGGTAACATCACTACTTTCCTCTTCGTTCTCTATAATAGCAGAACAAAACCCAATTATGCAAGTTTATTTTTTTGATAGAAGACGATTCCATAGTACACAATATCAAAAAATATTATTCAAGAAAAAATCTAACCAGAGTCACTGCTGGAATCAGAATCTTGCTCGACAAAGGTCACACTCTTTTTCTGTGGGGATTGAAGATGTGATCTCTCCTCAGATATCCGTCTTGAATGTGAGCTTCTACGCCTTCAATAGAAATCAACTATTATTTGTAATGCACATTATTTTTTAATAACTCATTTCAAATCAGAATTAGAATTTTAATTTTATGAAGCTTAATGTGAGGAGTTGTTGTAGCTATTATACTTAAAGATCATGGTGTTTGCAAAATGAAGTCTTGAATTCCTATAAATGGTAACAAAAACGTTATACCTCCACCCTAAGACACATTAAATCAAGTTGGACATTGCTGTGAGGACCAAATTTTAGACTTCCTAATGCCATACACAGGGATGTCCCCACGCTGGTCGGCGGTGGACGGGCCCGTCCAGCACTCAACATTTCCGACCAGGATTTACAGGCTCCCGACCACCACTATTATTTCAACAGTTTACAAATTGTAACAAAATAATTAGTTTACCCAAACACAATAGACAAGCTAAATTGATAGATAAAGACAATAAGAATACAATAAATGTTTCCGTGGTTACGTTAATTGTAACAAAATACTGCACTGCCCTGCTATTCATCGCTAACTTAACAGTCTAGGCCTAGGCCCAGTTGAGTCATAGCGAACATCGTGGGCCGGCATGACACGGTTACTCTGTACACATTCAAAGGTTAAAGTTGAAATCGTGACCATTCAAGTGTTTTATTATGAAATCATGGTCCGGGCAGGAAAATTATTAAAAATTTACGAAACCTGATTTATGTTTTATTTCTTTACTTTCTTTTTATTTTGTATTTGAAGTTTTTCACTTTTAATTATAATTGATATATAATGTGTGTAAATGGAAAAAAAATAAATAAATGAGTGCACATATGAATCAGTGACATACACATTCATCGTGGTAATCGTCAAACATGTGAACTTACGGCAAACAATGCGGCTGGGTACAGTCGGATCGACGCTTTGTTGCCGGGATTTGTTCATTATTATTTTTTAATCTAAAACAAAGCATGTCAACTATCGAATTTAATTAGGCCTACAGTAAGTCTCATCTTCATCTGTTTCGTTGCATTCCTCAAATTCTGGTCTAGGCCTGGCCTACCTGGGCCAAAAAAAAATCGCGTCAGCTAGCCTTGGGCCTAGGCCTGCTCTACTTACTTAGGCCTTTTGGTTTTTAAGGGCTTTCACGAATACGGCGACCCCCCGCGAAACCCCCCCCCCCCGGGAAAACGGGGGGGGGGGGGTGATCGCCGACGCGGAATGATCGCCGACCGGCACTTCAAAAAGCTGGTGACATCCCTGCATACATGCTTGCACAAATTTACATCTACTAATCACATTTACATTTTACAATGACAGGTAGAATGACATGAAACTTACGAGCCTGGTGTTGAGGTTCTTTCTGGTACATTGAGAACCAACTTTAGCTGAAAGACAGGTTCTGGTGGCATCTCCACAAACTCTTGCTCTTTTATTTCATCTAAAACCTGAAGTATAAAATAACACGAATTACATGGAACTGAAGAGGCAGTGTGGGTGTATTTTAGAGAAGAGTTTCATTTGTTTCAAGTAGTACAAGGTAAAGGTAGGAGAATAACCCATAAATTGCAGCGTCATGTGTTTAATGGAGTATGGGCATGGTCCATGACTACTGTAGCAGCAGTACTTAGACAGTTCACATCATTCTACAACGATGGGCTGAAATGAACCATAGCATCTAGGTATCCCCGCTTCTGAAAGATGCAATGGGTTCTTTAAAACGAATGTATTCACTTGATATCCCGTCCTTATCCAAGAAGACTTGGTTCGACCAACAAAACCAATGGCGACGACAGTTCAAACTAGCCCCAATGTTAATGCTGTAGCAAGAGGAACCCATGCCTTACCGCTTGGCAACTCAACTTGCCTAAAAAGAACAGTATCTATACTATACCTTGTCTATAACATTCTTGGTTTCTTCAACCTCATCATTCTGTAATGCTGCCTTCTTCAAAAGATTTCTTTTTGCTAATAAAACAAATGACAATTATAATTTTTATCAATATAATTCTTTTTATTATATTAATAATTTTATTAATTTTACTTTTTAATGTTAGCAAAACATTTGTGATTAGTTTAGACGATAGTTCACAAGCAACTTAAGCAAATTAGGAATGATAAAGTCTAATAATTATGGGATGAATCAAGATTTAATTCTACCTATTCCTTCAGGATCATTCTCATCAGCATCCATGCCGATTCCTGTATCCAAAGAAGTCTGGAAAAACTCTGTTAAAGTCTTCACTGCATTCTTCACCAGTCTGCGTAGCAAGTTGAGTATGAGGTAGTCGGCAGCTCGGAGGAACTTGGACAAACGTGCAAGAACGTTACGCCACTGTGCAATCTCCGTGTACGTGGGACCATTTGCTGCGAAACCGAAGTTTAAACCATTATACTATGAATATGAATTGAGATTATATTTCTTATGGATGAATATAATTCATACGAAAAAGACAGTAACTTAGAAGACAGAGATTATTTCAATGTTTTGATCTACGGTGCTTGATTATTTTTAAGAATACTGATGAGAAATTAGAGAAGTACAACGGAAAGTAATGAAAAACTGACCAATCAGATAAAAGCAGAATTAAAACTAACCAATCAAATGAGGAAATTAAGAATGAGGTGTGTCACACACAAGTGGATTACTTATTCTTATGAATAAACAATGCAGGGCAATAAACAACTAGTGTATGAGAACCTGGGAATGTTTACTGAAATTGAAGACTAAAGAGGTGAAAATAAACTACTTAAGTAAGCAATTTGTTTATTTTACTTCTTGCATTGTTTATTAATACAAATAAGTAATCGACTACAGTAAATTCAACAATGCAGATTTAATCTTACTATTTTTATTCTTTAGATTTGCACTAGAAACCTTCTTCATCAGTGGTCCAGAATGAGGTTGGAAATTGTATTTAACACCCTCCATTTCAGCTACTTTCTGCCCAAACCAAAAGGAATACAAAAAATGTATTCTTGATTCATGGGTTTTGTATTCATAGGAAAAAGCAGGAAAAGTCTTCAAGATAAATTCCATAAAGCTTTATAATAAATGTATCATCATCATCATCATCATCATAATCATCATCATCTTCAGCATTATCATTATCATTACCACCACCACCACCATCATCAGCCGTTCAGGTCACTGCTGGTTGATGGCCTCCTCCATCACCATTTGTTCTCGATCACACTCATCCAATTTCCCCAAGTACTTCCGCAAGTCAGTGCCTAACCATAAACTTATCTCCAGTATAATATATATTTTTATATTTTATACTTTCATGCTTCAATGTCTATTTAACCTGCCTCCTTCATCATCATCATCATCTTCCGTTACTGTACATAACCTCAGTTGAGTATACTCGCACAATGTGTTGTACAGCCCTCATATATGTTGCGGTCAAAAGGGGAAAAAAAGGCAATAAATAAATAAGTAAATAAATAAATATAAATAAAAATAAATAAATAAATATTTATATAAGTAAATAAACATGCATACTTTCCTTTTGTAGTCATACTCATTTTGCACCTTAAATTATTGAAATGCTAGGGGTTTAGGTTAATGTTTTATGTATTACATACCACACAGCATTCCCAGCATACTTTGACTAATTTCGACCTCATTCTATTCAGTAGATCCAATGCCTCATTGCACTGTTTGGCCTGTATGGCACAAAACTGATCTAAATCCAGAGTCACATGTTGATCAATGACCAGCAATGAAATGGCTTTATCCCCTACACCAACCGCTAGCCGACTGCTGGCTGCTGCCTCACACTGGGCCTGGACGTGTAGCAAGCAACGCTGTAGCAGCTCATTAGCTGTGAACAGCTGTTTTATCATAACAGCTCTGGGGAAAAAAAACAAAATAGTAGGGTAGGTTGCGATTGTAAGTATCAGTGCTTGATTTCCAAAAGGATCAACATGTAAATAGGAACATACTTACTTGCGACTGGACATTTTTAAACCACGAACATTCTTCTTCCATACAGTAAATGCTTTCCACATCCTGTAAATGTATTATTTATATATAAGATGACTACATTAATTTTTAAAATATTAATAAAGTACAGTACTCGCATATTAGACGATATAAATATTAACAGGCATGTCAAACTTATTTATCCATTCTTTTTCTCAATCTCAATTCTCACTTCATCATGTCGATAAATTAAAATATACAAAAATTATAACAAAGAGAAAAATCAGGAGCTGAAATCGAGATAAATGTGAAGCAGGGACGCCACCCAGTGGCGCCATCAGCAGGTGGGGGGGGGGAGCAGCAGGGGCTTAAGCCCCTCCATCAGAAATGTCAAGCCCCCACCACCAGCCAGAGCTCGTCGGGCAGTCAGATCAAAAAAATAAATAAAAATAGGCCTAATGAAATGAAATGTGTTACTGAGTTGAGTTTGAGAGTATAGTAACAATTGTATTTCATCATGCAATTATTAACTGACACATTCAAAAGCTTGGTGGCACATTAAACTCTTATCATGTTCTCTGTTAAATATTCACCTGAATTTGACAAACACAGGTTGGTTGTACACTGCCTTAAAGAGCCTCCTCTCGTAAAGCCATTGTAAGATAGGAGTAAGTTCCAAATACTCGTCTCCATTGGAGTCTTCAATATGCTGGAAAATAAAAGCACAAAATATAAGTATAGTTAAATGTTTACTGTAAATGATGCTTACCTTAATTGAAACAGGAGACAAAAATTAAATATTTGAATATGGGTGATAATTGTACTTAAAACTGATAATTGTTGGGCTGTCAACAACATGTTCTGTTGGTAAATTGCAAGTGTGTATGATGGAACTTTTTCGAGTGACAAACAACTGACCAATCTGAAAGTGTTATTCAACAGCAAGGAGTATGTGACTTACTATTCCTACAGATGTTGCACTTGCAGTGAAGTACATTTTGGAAGACTGGCCCTCTTCTGTCGATACAACCTCTAAATCATACGGCATATAGCGCCCCCTAGGATTGTTACGCTCCATTGGAAGACCATACAAGAATTCACCAGTATCTTCTGATGTATCTGCCAATTCCTGAAATGGGCAAAATATTTTTACTTTAAAAAAATTTGTTTTTCATTCTAATCCAACAGCAAGTACATTTGGAGCTGGATGCTCTACAAACTAAAGCTCTGTCTAGACTAACAAGTTTAAAGCTCTGTCCACACTAACAAGTTTAAAGCTCTGTCCACACTAACAAGTTTAAAGCTCTGTCCACACTAACAAGTTTAAAGCCTTTGTCGACACTAACAAGTTTAAAGCTATATGGTTATGATGTGATGTCATCATGACAATATTTAGGCATGTCACATGTTTTTGTCAAATAAAGTTGAGTGGTTTCTCCATATATGGGCATGATAATGTCACATCACACACATATAAGAGCAAATCAAAGGTATTTGTCACATAAAAACTGGTAGTGTGGACAAAGCTTTATGAGGAATTAGAAAATGGACTCATGCTTTTACTTTAATATGTTATAATAGGTATTGGCAATCATCTTGTAAAACATCTGTCTTTGCCATATATTTAGGTTGCTGAGAGGTCTTTATTATCATTTATATGTATTATTTTTCTCATTGGCAGTGACAAGTCTTTTTTTATTAAAAGATACAATCCATCATACACTAACAGATCCATCAATGGTCTTTTCAAGTGCAGAAAGATTCTCTCTAACGCCAACTCCATGACGAGGTAGTTCCACAGTCAGTCCCAACTTCCGTCGCAATCGCAAAATATGAAACACGATGTCTTCAGCTCCTACATCTGATACAAATTTATAAATAATATTCAAAATTTGACGAAAAAAAAATCAAGTTTATTAGTGAGGTATTTCACTAACTCAAAAAAATTTGAAGTTTGTGTGCGACCCTTGATGTTTATTCAAAAATTCACTTTGGCCCTGACCAATTATTAATGCCTGCCCTTGCTTTAAATGTATTTATGCCTGACCTTGCTTTAAATCAATTACAGTTCTGTCATTATAAGTTTCTAAATGTCCATTTAGGAAACACATTCATTTTTAAGCAATAAACAAGATGGCACTACATAAAATTTATGACAGATTGATAGGTTGATTAATTGATTGATAGATTAAACCTATTTAGTTTCCCAGGGCATGATGATTGTAAAATCACACCCATAAAATGAGCAATTCTAAAGTATTTGACATACAAAACATGGTACAGACAGACTGATCGATGACAAATTAATTGATTGGTTGATGGATTGATTGATTAATTGATTGATTGATTGAAAAACAAAAGAAAACCTACCAAGGTGTTCTAAGACAATGGGTCTTGATTCCTTTACTTCTTGTATATCAGTGTCATGTGACTTGACTGATATGACATCATCATCTTTATTATCATCAATGATTACACTATGATTGTCTTCACTTCCTATACTCTCTGCTTTCTCCAATGCCGGTCTTTCTTCCTTGGCATCCTTGACCTCTGACCTGACATCATGGTTTCCATTAACACTAATCACATTATCAGATTTCCTACAAATTAATAAGCCAATTCATAGTTAGAACTGTGCATGCTCATATCCAAGGTCAATTGACATAAACCTATGTATGATATCTCCCAGAAGTGGTTGAATATCAAATTATGACCCATAATGCCATTACCTTTTATCTTTAATGCTGATATCATCTTTAAAATCTGTCTCTCTATTTTTCTTCTTTTCCCTCTGTTGTTTCAGGCGATTTCGATCTTCTTTGAAAAAAGTTGTTCTGAATGCCGCTCTTCGGTTTGGTCTTCCAGTTGGTGGGCTAGGTATTATGCCTGAACCCTTATAAAACATAAATTCAAAGTTTACTTATTAAATAAATTCATTAAATTGAATGCTTATCTGTTCTGTACGATAATGATACCAGGAAGCCACCACTCTTTCATACCTTTGGTTTTGATCCAAGTCCTAAGCGCTGGAACACCTGAGCATCTTCTGGTCGATCATAGAGTCTACTTTTTAGGTCTAGGCCCCCTAGAGGCTGTTTTACAGGGCGAGACTGCTCAACAGGATATGCAAATTTTACAATATTGGAACCTGATTTGGACTCAACACTGCCACTGCTCTTTTCATTATTCCTTTCTGTCTCCAAGATGTCTGCCATTCGTCTTTGAGACTCATTACACAAATGACGTTCCATTACAAACTAGGTCTAAGTCATTTTTCACACAATTAAACACAATTCCTGTAAATAATTTCAAAATATTTGTATTTAGTATACATAAATAAAAAGCATGTTTCATAGTCTCCAAGTCTGAAGCTGCTTGATTGTTTAATTCTATTTATTCAAATAGTGATTCTTCCTATTCCTCAATCATTAGAAGCCTCAAAATTTTAGCAAAATTAATAATCTTTTTAATCTACCCTAGGCATTTCAGCACTACCTGGTATGCCTGCCAACTTTGCTGGCGTCCGATGCGTTGCATATAGTGCCCTCTATGCAAAAATCACAGAATTTTTTATTGTAGTGATCGAACTGCTACTAATTAGTCATGGGTAAAGCTTCGTGAAAATAAATTTATATGGCCTGTATTCACATTTTAATGACAAATTCGCATAGTTTTAAGAATTTTTGGTTATAATTTATAATATACATTTTATCTTTCATAAAATGTTTATGATGTGTGAGACATAAAAAGTGGATACTCATGCATGAAACTCATACATTATGCGTGAGAATTATACATGAGAGTTGGCTGGTGCCATACTGTAAAGTTTTTGAATTGCATGGAGGATATCTAAAAAATCAGCTCAAATTTGCACGGAATATCGTTAGAAAAATAGGTGCGTGGAATCGTAATTGCTGCATAATTGCATTTCTTTATATTTATAAGATTTGGTCAAAGCCTAATTTTTGGCAAAATCTGCGCGGAAACCGCCCCTTTTTTTCCGAAATGTGTAGACGGATTTCTAAGAGGCATATTTCCCCAACAGCAGGAAAGTGGGCGTGGTTGAACGTCACTTAATATGTTCCGGAAGTGGTCCAGGGGGCGAAGCCAACAAAAATTTTGACAATTTAGGGGTTTCAAAGTTTATTTAATCGATTTTAGTGTCTACTAATATGTAGAAAATAGCATGTAATTTTTTTTTCTCCTAGACAAATTGTGGTTTTTCTTCCCGACGGGGAGGGGGCAGCCCCTGGCCTCTGCGGGCGCCACCCTGAATGCTAATCTTTGGTTCGATTAACCTTGATTACAACAAGAAAGTTCAAAAAGATGGTACCACATAATGATGCCACATTTTGTTGACAGATGTTTCATAGGAAAATTCATATTCAAATTATTAGACTGGCCTTAATTGTTGCAAAATTTAAGAACTGACTCAGACATTCTAGCAATTTCTTACTTGATTGCAAAGCAGCAAAATAATATGTACAGCTCGTCGTGCTAGCAAGCGCGGAAACACTGTATCAACCTGTATTTATAAAGGTATCTTTTTTCGTTGAAAAACATTTTTTAGTTTTGTTTATAATTAGGCTAGGCCTTAGGCCCCTATGTGTTTTGACTGTGAGGACATTGAGGTAAAAAAAGAATTAAAAGTTTGGTGCGAAAGTGCATTGCCTACATATAGTATAGACCAAACCAGGCTAGGCTTGGCCTCTAGGCCTACTTCTACTAGGCCCCAATCCTAGTTAGTAAGTTAAGATAGGCCTATCCTCCTACCCTCCCTAGGCTAGCATACCCTAGGTTAGCCTCCTCCCTACTGTACTGTTTATAAACTCTAGGCCTAGGCTTTAAAATTTCGCCTTCTGCTAGGCCTAAAGATTAAAAATGCTGATTATTGGTCTAAATGTAAAGTTTATATTACTACTTGCCAGCATTTCATTTATATCTCATCTCTTTAGAAAGTTCTCATGGTAAAAACAAAACATTATATTTGAAATTGCCAACAAAAAAAATCACAGTTTAGCTTGCCAATCCTATAGCAACCAAATTAATTGATTGACTACTTGTCCGTAAGTAATGGCACTGATATATTAGGTAATTGGCTCCCCACGGATATATAGCTTTGGTTAAATATCCACTGCAGTAAAATCGTGAAGGTCTTTCTAACCTAACCTGTAGGTGGCGCAACTTTATTTTTACTCTTGCAAAAAATAAAAACAAACTGGAAATTCCCTCACGCCAACAATTTCGTTTAGATTTTGAGGCTGTTGGTGGTGTGAAAGTTATTCTAGAATTTCTGATAATTTGTTGTAGTTTCTTTATAAAAGGTAATTATACGAAAGTTAAATACATTTGTCTGTTGTAGTAGCCAATATTTACTTGTTTTTGTTTCCAGGAAGACAATATATAGGCCTAGGACCTAATCATACTGCTCTAGCGGCTAGCTACTGTCTGTAGCCTAGACTAGCTAGGCTAGAGAAGAAAACCTAAGGTAGGTAGGTAGGAATTGCGTAACGTCAGTGGCGGACTAGGAGGGGTGGGGGGGGGGTGAATAGAATAGGGTGGCTAGCCCCCCCCCCCCCCTTCCCCCTTTCGGTGACCTCGAAGAAAAAAATATAGTCACTCGTCTTGTGTGTGTGCTCCTCATACATACATGTTACATGTAGTAGGCTACTCTCGTAAAACATACACTTTCTATTTTTTTAAGCTTAACTTCTTTTCAGATGTCATCCAAGAGCGTCTAGCCATCAACTAATTCCAAAAAATCTCAAATGGAAGGGGATGCCTCTCCCTAAACCTATGATAAAGGAGGGACAGGGGGACACATCCCAAAATATTGTTAAGGGGGTGGGGGTTAGTTCCTCTTTTCGTCCGCAATGTAATTTTATTATAAGTCAAGAAGATGCCTGAAAATTGTTGAAAGGAACTGAATGACCCAGGTTTTAACGAATCTATCTCTGCCCACAAACATCTCTAAATTACTTTTATACACGACTCTTGTGCACATGCCTTTATTTTAATTTGAGAAGTATGAAAAAAGCGTGAATAAAAATAAGATTGGTTTTGGGCACATGGTAAATTAAATTGAAAATACATCAATGACAATTGAGTTTTATTTTCAATGGAACATCACAGCCATTAATTTGATCATGAAGATGAATTTCATTATATTTAAAACACTAACAGAGTGTCATTTCTGGTAATCTAGAGGTACTATTTCTCCAAATGTTCTCACTTCAGCCCTTGTGTGGCAAAGTTTTTAATATTTATTTTCTATAGTATATTACACATATTAATTAGATATCTATGGTTGCCGAAAATCATGAGAAATTTGTTGCCGCTTCATTTTTACTATATTGGTGATGTGATGACGATGAATTTTACTATATAAAAGTGTCATTTCCGGTCATCTAGAGCTACTATTTCCTAAAATTTTCCCATGATGGTGGGCCTGAGGTGGGTGTGGGCTCACAAAATGTCCAACCCCCTTTTCACCTTTCGAAACAGATCTGCGCCCTTGTCAAAAACACGCCCCCCACCCTCCGCTTCGTGCTTCGTAAAATCGCATTAGCCACCACCCATTGCTAGATCCGCCACTGAACGTACATGAGTTGATTGCATTACATCAACCACAACTAACTTTATAGTAAAAGTACTGTACTGAGTACTACTCACGTTGTTGACCTACGAAATGTGTTTTTACCGTAGGGAGATGAGCTAAGGCTCAATCAATTTTTCAAGAACACTTAATCAACTGTTAAGCCTAAAGCAAACAAGAAAATGCCAGGAGAAAAGAGAGAGAAGAAATTGACCAAAGGTATTTTTTTTATTTATCATTTCATTATCAGTGATGTGTTGTAAATTGTAAAATAAAAATTATAATATTAATGAACATAGGAATGAATTTTTGAGTATTTGAGTCGCAGAGTATTTCAATCCCCTGGATAATCTTTCCACTGGGTCTGGGGGTAACAATATTTGCCAAAATATTCTTTCAGTCAGAAAAACTGTTTGCTGAAAATATTCCTATCGCCTTATTTTTTTCCATATTCTTTAATGCCTTCAGTAGGTCCTAAATATGTGTGGTTTATATTTCTGACAATTATCATTATTTTGTGTTTACAGTTAATTACAAGTGTTGTTTATGCTTCTTTTTCATTGTTATCTAAATTATTACAGGTGGCAATCAAAAGCAAAATTTAAGAGAAACAACATGTCTATTTCTTTTTACATTTAAGTTTAGCGTTGTTAATCATTTCATAAAATATGTTATAGAAATTGTAGTCAACTATGAAATAAAAAACAATAATACAATTAATAAAGAATAGGTAAAAAAACTATTCCTCATCACTTCAGACACCATCCTGGGCTGTGAGTGTAGGGTTCGGTGCTGCCATACATTTGACTTATTTTTTGGAAGTTAATAATACCTTATTTGATTCTTTTAAGTAAACTAATTTAAATTCTAAAATCAAATTTTTGAGGCGTTTTTTCCATATGGGTCTCCCTCAAATTAAAGACAACCACCAATTAAAGTCCACTTTTCTGTGGTCCCAAATTCACACATTCTAACCAGGGAGATGTAAAAAAAATGTTTACATCTCCCTGTTCTAACACCAGGAACTCAGAATTCTCTGGAGACTGGATGTGTCCTGGTGAAGTGCACTCCCACCCCAGAAATCTTGAAAATTTTTCATACATACATATATGCTTTCAAGGTGTCAGTAACACTTGGAATTTCTTGGTACACCGACATTGTTGATAAAGCTATACACAAAGGAAATATTGACACAGCTAAATTAGTAAGAGAAGTCGGGGTAGGCCTATAGTTAGTTGGTGCAATAACATCATAGATTGGGTTGACATGTCCTAATTAGAGACAGTGAGGAGAGTGTGGAATGGAGACGAGTGGCAAGCCATTGCATCCAACCCTCGACCAGAGGATGGAACCTAAGAAAAAGAATGTACCAAAAAGCCACTACTAAATTAGCTGTTTTTGGTATTTTTGTGCTGTTTGGCAAAATTCGGTAGACTGGGAGATTACATTTAATTCGGGAAACTCCTGATCAAATCGGGAGTGTTGGAACGTTTACAAATTAACAAATCTTTTATCTTTATTATTCTAATTAAAAGACCGAAGCTTCTAAAGACAATGAAACCCCATTCCCAAAAGTGGTCTTTAATTGGAGGGGCGACCTGTATTTAATATAACAACAACCATATTTTTTAATTAGATGTTTCTTTAACCCGTCTAACTAAATAAAAGCACCTGGATCCAAAGTTTTACCGTATCTTTTTGTATTGTCAACAAAAAGTATTTCTTGATTTGTTCCATATTTTTACCATTACCTGAATTGTAGATATTCCTTAATCTTTCTAAATATTTTTAGTTGTGATAGTCCACTTCGGTACTAATAATCTGAAAGAAGTGGTGAAGTCTTTGGAGCGGGCTGTAGATGATCATCTGCATCCAGAAAAAATCAGTTGTCGTCGTAAGACTACATCTATTGGTACGTTGTAACAAGACATACAGAAAAGTCTACTCATTTTGTGTGTAAACGAATGATTACGCCCCAATAAGCAGCTGTGGGAGGATGGCTACTGATTCCTGACTGTCTTAAGGCAATTTTCCATTTGTCAAATTTGTTTGTGCGACATGAAAAGTGTTGTGAGCACTTTGTTATTTTCCACTACATAAGATTTGCAATATGCATTTTCTAGAAAATTTTTGCGATAAAATCTTTTTCCCCGCTTCTGGTTGGCTATGCATTATTTCTCTTCCCATAATGTAGAAACAAGTTTGTACTCCAAAATTTGCCGTACCAAACCACCAAAAGGGAAAGCAAACAACTTAAACTGCACATGCGTACTTGCAAACATATTTTAGTGCGAATATATTTGCCTAGTGGAAAACAGGCTTGCGTGTAAAAATCAAGTAGTACCCAGTACTATTTATGTGATGGTTGGTTTTTCATTACCACACATGTACAAATGCTTCTATTCAAAGTGGGCGAACTTTCTATTTTAATACGAAGTTGGAGCAGTGCACTTTTATTTCACAATGCTGTGTTTCTCTTGGGTACACTTCAGTAGTAACGATAATAATTTCCATGGCTTAACTACGGGCATGATATATTTTTTAAGCAATACCATACATTTTTCCTTTCTTTGATTTTACATGTAATCTCCTTAAGCCCTGTCCAGACTATCAAATTTTATTTGACAAAAACATATGACATGCCTAAATATGGTCATGATGACATCATATTATGACCATATATAGGCACATCATGACTATATATGGGCATACAACAGTTTCTTGTCAATTTTCACGGCTTAAACACTGGCATGATATATTTTCAAGCAATACCATACCTTCTTCCCTTCTTATACTCTTTGATTTTAATCTCTTTACGCTTTGGTTAGACTATCAAATTTTATTTGACAAAGATATGTGACATGCCTATATATGGTCATTAAGACATTACATCATGACCATATATAGGCACATCATGACTATATATGGGCATATAAGAGTTTCTTGTCAAGAGCTTTAGATTTGTTTTCCCAGGACTTTACTTGTTATTAAGTTAATGAAGATGACTTAAGCATTGTCCACACTGTGATGTCATCGTGACCATATTTAGACATGTCACATGTTTTTGTCAAATAAAGTCTATTTCGTGAATACTTACCTGGATAACCGACTAATTGCCATTGTTCCCAAAACGGAACACCCCTTCGAAAAAAATGGAACAGTTCGACCCAAGGCGCCACGTGCGAACCGTCTCCATAACAAACGTCCTCATTCCCTTTTCGACGTTGTTCGAAGTCGGATACATCTAGCCTTTGAAAATAACTAGCAGGACTTTTCAAGCAATTCTGTTCTCCTTGGATTTATTTTTGCTTTGGATTTATTTTTGCCTTGGATTTATTTTCAACTTGTGGTTGACAAGATATCCTTTTTATTGTAGTCTCGATCGGCATGTCCGCTCGCAAGTCTTTGTGCTCGGTGTGTGGGGGCCCCAAACCGAGTGTTAAGCTCGACCGGCACTCGGAGTGCCCGTTGTGTCGCTCGTGCAGCAAGGGTGAGCCTTGCGAGATTTGTGCGCGCTGGCCCCTGACTAAGTTTGGGGGGGAGGCCCGGTGGGGGGGGGGAGGCTGATGCTTTTCACCCACGAATGGGAACGGCTGTCTCCGGACAGCTGGATCCTGCAGACTATATACCGTGGGTACCAGATAGAGTTTACTTCCCCTCCGGTTGCGTACGGAGGGATGAACACGCCCATTCCAGCCTCCCCCGAGAAGAGGGAAGCCCTGTTTTCAGGGGTGAACGACCTTCTTTTGAATGGGGCTGTAGTCAAAGTTTTTCCGACTACCGAAGACAAGGGGTTCGTTTCCACACTCTTCCTGACAGAGAAATCGTCAGGCAGATGGCGCCCTATCCTAAATCTGCTTTACTTGTTGTAATGAAGATGACTTAAGCTCTGTCCACACTGTGATGTCATCATGACCATATTTAGACATGTCACATGTTTTTGTCAAATAAAATTTGATACTCTGGACAGGGATAAAAATGTCAAGATATACAAAAGCAATAATAACAATGTCAATTTCTTTAATAGTACAATAAACAGAAACAATTTGAGATCAAAACAGTGATATCCTTTTAATGATTCTATACTCTTTTCTCCCAACCTTTTAAAGAAAAATTAATCGAAGGTACTGTAAGTGTTGAAGGCGAATCTATTCGGGGAGTTTGTGTCATATCAGAAGAACTTCTGGAGTTGTTACGCAACAGTCCAAAGGAGAAGAGAAGTGAATTTGAAGGTAACAATATCACAGGGAATGAGGTATGAGGGAAACAGGTCGATTTGTGTGTGTGTGGTATGTATGTGTGTGTGTGTGTGTGTGTATATATATATATATATATATATATATATATATAGCATGATGTAATCCACGTGTGTTCCTTAGATACATCTGAAGCTGTCTCTTCGTCTTGAGGTAATGCTATATGTAAATAAAATGTTAAAGAAGTAGAATCTGCAAGTGTGGAGAAATATGAGCGCCAACCGGGATTTGAACCTAGGGCCTTCTGCTATTTATTCTAAGGTAGGAGAATAACCCGTAACTTGTAGCGTCATTATGCTGAATTGCGTATGGGCGTGGCCCGTGACTACTTAGGAGCGGTTGGAACCAGCGCTGATGTTAAGGCTGTAGCTAGCAGTGCCCCTGCCTTACCACTCGGCCACTCGACTCGCATATCTAAAACGAAAAACAAGCAAGAACCTCCCTGAAAATATCCCATCTCTTGCAAATATATAATAGTTTCTAGTAAATATGTAAAAGTTTTGTAGAAACGTTTCAATAGATTTAAAAGAAAATACATAAAAAGAATATTGGTTCAGAACTGTTACATGCCTACAATGGCAGTCTCCATGTAAATGAACCACACCTAATACAAAATAGAACAAATTTCATCAATCAATCAATCAGTCTGTCAATCAATCATTTACTTATTAAAAATAAATATCAACTTAATAATTAATTTTATTTACAGATGGCTTGTTGAAGGAATTTTCTAAGTATCCTTCGTTTGTCTGCCTGAAGTACAAGTTGCAAGATGAGGTTGTCAAATTGGAAGAGGTTCTTCCAGGCATAGCTGAAGACAGAATCCTAAATCTAGAGCAAGAAGACTCCAAAGCTCTATGTGCTCAAATTTATATGCAGTGGTTTGGGAGCACAGCATATGTCGATGACAAGGGGTACCATTGTGTTTATGAAGACGAAATTGACAAAACTGTTAATTGTGGTAATGTTCTAATTTTTTTTTCAATTAAATATATTCACAGACATACCTTGTCACTCATCAATATCATCACCATCCTAACTAATATATTATCACGTCTCAGTATCAATATTACCACCATCAGTATCAATATCATCACCTCTAAACATCCTCACTCATCAATATCATCACTCATCAATATTATCACCTCTCATCATCCTCACTCATCAATATCATCCCATCACCCTCATCACTCACCAATTATCACTCTCAACATCCTCACTCATCAATATCCTCACCATTGTCATTCATCAATACTATCACCTTTAACCATCCTCAATCATGAATATCATCACTATCCTCATTTGTCAGTATCATCATCACCATCCTCACTAATCAGTATTATCACCTCTCACCATCAATACTACCACCATCATCACTTAAAAATATCATCACCTTTAAATATCCTCACTCATCAATATCATCATTATCATCACTCATCAATATTATCACCTCTCATCATCCTCACTCATCAATATTATCACCTCTCATCATCCTCACTCATCAATATTATCACCACCCTTACTCATCAATATAGTCACTCATCTGTATCATTACCATCATCACTTCAATATCATGACCTCTCATCATCCTCATCAATATCATCATCCTCGTTTATCAATATCATTACCTCTCATCATCCTCGCTCATCAATATTATCACCACCCTTTCTCATCAATACGTTCACTCATCTATATCATTACCATAATCACTCATCAATATCATCACCTCTCATCATCCTCACTCATCAATATCATCATCATTACTTATCAATATCATCCTCACTTATCAATGTCATCACCATCATCACTCATCAATGTCATCACCATCCTTACTCATCAATATTATCACCTCTCATCATCCTCACTCATCAATATTATCACCTTATCATCCTCACTCATTAATATCATTACCTCATCATCATCACTCATCAATACCTTCACCATCATAGTTTGTAAATATCATGACACATAATATTAATATGTCATCATAGTTTGTAAATATCATGACATATTAATATTACAGTCTCCTGGCATCACCTCTCACAATACTGGGCACTTAATCATCACTATCATCACTTCTCAACATTCTCACTCATCAATATCCTAAGTTATCTTTATTCATCAATATCAATACCTCTCACCATCTTCACTAATCAATATCATAATTTGTCATCTTTGTTCATCAATATCATACCTCTTATCATCTTCACTCATCAATATCATAACTTATGTATAATAATAACTCTGGATTGTACTGTTTATCACTGCAGTGCATATAATACACGCTGGAGAGGATAAGAAATTGCTACGGGGTTTAAGTGATGCTCTAGAGAACGTAGCAAACCCAGAATGCAGCTGTGAGTTCAGAAGGAGGTACAGAGAAGGTATGCTGTTATCATGTCATGTCATTTGCATAGATGCTGTGTTTTAAAGCTTGTACTCAAAGCTTCTTGATGTTAGCTTATGGAAAACAAATAATGGAAGGAAAATGACTTATAATAAAGATCATACACTAAAAGAAGACAAGCAAAAAGTAAAGACAAATTCAAAGTTGTGATTTTTTCCAATATGCCACAGTGCATTAAGATTGTGACACTGAACTTAAAGTCAGGCTCCGGAGAAAAAAAATTTTTTGATATGTTGTAGAACTGATTTTTCTAAGACAGAAAAAAGTTGTTTGACGAAAAACTGGGGAACCGTGAATGAGCTGTACAGATTTTTTAATATTTCCTTTTTCCCCCAGTTTTTAAATATTAAAAAATCTGTACCTCATTCACCGTTCCCCAGTTTTTCGTCAAACAACTTTTTTCTGTCTTAGAAAAATCAGTTCTACAACATATCAAAACAATTTTTTTTTCTCCGGAGCCTGACTTTAAGTTAGGGCCAATCCAGCTCCACCTATCATGGCCTAGAATTTCTATAAAATTGTCATGGCCAAGAAAATTATACCACTGCCATCGTCTAGTTATCAATTATTGTTCATTTCATTACATGCTGGGAGGCATTGGCATATCTAAGAGTATTAACAGGGGTGGGGTATGATGAGGATTGAACATTAACTGGAGGAGGTTCAATGATGAAGTGAGGAAAAAATTAGGTTTCAAAATATTTAAGTTCATATGAGGTGATTAACAACTATTTAACCATAATTATTTTGCTCAGCAAACTTCGAGTGGAGCCTCCGGGAAAGGGATAGAGGATGGGGTCTGCAAGTTTTTGTGGGAGTGTGCACCATTACTATATTCATATTTTATGTTTTTTATTCATCACCATGTATATTTTGGTTTAATCATTTATTACTACATTTTATGTGTTTAATAATACCTTGGTACCTTCAGGAGATGATGTAAAACAGAAGATTTTAGCTGATGTTAAAATGTTTATTGCCAGCCTTGAAAACGAGCAGAATAAATGCTTGATCATTGTGAGTAATCATCTTATTGAGAGGCTGAGAGATACGCCAGAGTTTGATGAAATCAAAAAAAGTAAGTACATATTTCATACACGTCAAATTATAGAGAATGATGTTGTTTATTTTGATGAACATGTATTTACTTTTCTAAGGATAGATTTGTGGGAATGTTTGTGCTCTTGCTTATTTTGTGTTGTGTTCCATATATACAGTGGACCTTTTCCACTAAATTTTTAGGTTTATTACAAACATTTCACCGGTTAGGGCTTCATCCGTGGACTAAAATCGTACGTTACAAAACAACGTATATAATATGACAAAGGCCTTTTATGGTCGAATGACTACGCATTGACTACTATTTTTTCTATGCACATCTATATGTAAATCTGAGCATAAGTATGAGTGATATTCAATTATGTGTGTAATCAAGTTTATTCCTGTATATGTTTATGTATAATATTGGGTGTGGATATGTGTAAATGAACG